TTTTTTAAATCTCGTGTTCGTACCATTATAGAGTTTTTTTTTTTTGGACAGGCAGAGTGGACAGTGAGAGAGAGAGACAGAGAGAAAGGTCTTCCTTTGCCATTGGTTCACCCTCCAATGGCCGCTGTGGCCGGCGCACAGCGCTGATCCGATGGCAGGAGCCAGGTGCTTCTCCTGGTCTCCCATGGGGTGCAGGGCCCAAGTACTTGGGCCATCCTCCACTGCACTCCCGGGCCACAGCAGAGAGCTGGCCTGGAAGAGGGGCAACCGGGACAGAATCCGGCGCCCCGACCAGGACTAGAACCCAGTGTGCCAGCGCCGCAAGGCGGAGGATTAGCCTAGTAAGCCGTGGCACCGGCCCACTGTAGAGTTTTCAAAGTGCACTTCCCCACGCATAATCTCATTTTAGCCTCACTGAACACACGCTGTGTGCCGTAAACAAAAATGGATGAGGCCAGGTATTTTAGAATTTTACTTATTTTTGTTTCATTTGAGAGGTGCAGTGGTGGGAACTGGTTCATGCTCCAAATGCCCAGAGAGCAGGACCTGGGCCAGGCAAAAGCCAGGAAACAGGAATTCAATCCAGGATTCCTACACGGGTGACAGGGACCAAAGTACTGTGGCCATCATTTACTAAAAAGGAATACATTTATATATATATATATATATAAATGTATTCCTTTTTAGTATATATATATACTATAGTATATATATATATATATATACTATAGTATATATATATTTGAAAGAGTTACCAGGGCAGGGGACAGGGGGAGGTAGAAGCGGGAGAGAGAAGTCTTCCTTCTGGTGGTTCACTCCCCCGATGGCTGCTACTGCAACCACTGGGGCTGGGCCATGCTGAAGCCAGAAGCCTGGGACTCCGTGTGGGAAGCAGGGGTCTAAACACTTGGGCCATCCGCTGCCTTCCCAGGTGTGTTAGCAGGGAGCAGGATTGGAAGTGGAACAGCCAGAGCCGAAACCAGTGCCAAGGGCGTCAGACAGTGGCTTACCCTGCTAAGCCACAGCAGACCCTAGGCAGTGCATTTCTTAAGGGAAGATTTCCATTCAGTTGTAGGGAGAAAATAGAAATTAACGCCTGCTCTTCCAGCTCCAATGAGGTAGGTGCTACAAAGAGGCAGATTTTTGAGACACCTCATTGAAGGCTATCACAGCCAGTTGGGCAGGAGCAGGGAGGGAGAGAAATCAGGAAAAAACCGTGGAGGGAAGGGTCCTTCAATTATAGGAAAAGGGCTTCAAAGAAATTGGAGAAGAACATTTTTCTTTCTCACAGACCTCTTACCCAAGCTCATCTATTTTCATGACTTCCATAAGCTGCAGCAGAGAATCTCTCTCTTAAATGCCCACTAAATTCGTTCTCTTCCTTCCTCTGTCCATATCTTCCTGGGGTTTAGGTTCTGTTTCTACTTAAGGATCCTGACTGGGGCTGACACTGTGGCTCAGCAGGTTAAAGCCCAGGCCTACAGCCCCAGCATCCCATATGGACGCTGGTTTGAGCCCCAGCTGCTCCATTTCCAGTCCAGCTCCCTCCAAATGTGCCTGGGAAAGCAGTGGAGGATGGCCCAAGTACTTGGGCTCCTGCACCCACGTGGGAGCCTGGAAGAATCTCCTGGCTCTTGACTTCGGCCTGGCTCCAGTCCTGGCTGTTGCAGCCATTTGAGAATGAACCCGGGGATGGAAATTCTCTCTGTCTCCTTCTCTCTGGAACCTTGCCTTTCAAATAAATCAACCAACCTTTAAAAAATAGAATTAAAGATAAGTTAAAAATAAACAAATAAACATGGCTCCTGACTCAGCTGTGCCTTCTAGCATTGCTGTCAGAGGGAGGTTTCTCTGGCAGAAGCTTTCCCAAATGCAAGTCTGACCCATTCCCTCCTCTACTTAAAATCTTTGGATGACCAGAAGCTGGCACCGCAGTGCGGTGGGTTAAGCCACCACCTGCGATGCCAGTATACCGTATTAGAACAGGGCTCCGCTTCCCAGCCAGCTCCTCGCTAATGAGCCTGTGAACGCAGTGGAAGATGGTTCAAGTACTTGGGCCCCTGCCACCCACTTGGGAGACCCCGATGGAATTCTACCCTGGCTGTTGTGGCCACTTGGGAAGTGAACCAGCTCAGGGGAGTGCTCCCCACCCCACCCTGTCACTTTGCCTTTCACATACATAAAATCGTAAATAAAAGATGTTTGGATGACAACACCTGCAGGAAAAAGTCCAAGTCTTGACAATCAAGGCCTTTCGTGCCGAGGCCTCTGCTCTGTACGCTAGCTCTGGGACCTTGTTGGGGCAGCATTCTCACTCCACACCTTCTATGGCATTCCTGCCGCGAGCACGGCCTCTTCTTTTTTTTTTTTTTTTTTTTTTTTGACAGGCAGAGTGGACAGTGAGAGAGAAACAGAGAGAAAGGTCTTTCTTTTCTGTTGGTTCACCCTCCAATGGCCGCTGCGGCTGGCGCGCTTTGGCCAGAGCACCGTGCTGATCCGAAGCCAGGAGCCAGGTGCTTCCTCCTGGTCTCCCATGGGGTGCAGGGCCCAAGCACTTGGGCCATCCTCCACTGCACTCCCTGGCCACAGCAGAGAGCTGGCCTGGAAGAGGGGCAACCGGGACAGAATCCGGCGCCCCAACCGGGACTAGAACCCGGTGTGCTGGTGCTGCAAGGCGGAGGATTAGCCTAGTGAGCTGCGGCGCCGAAGGCCTCTTCTGCCCTCACGTCTTCAAAATGCACCTGAACGCCTCCCCTGATCACCACGAGTTTGGTTTTGGGCGTGTCTCTGATCCCAAAAGCCCATTCGTGTCCTTCGTATACGGTGTTTAACAGGGAGTCAGGTGTCACCTTTTGGATCACTTGTCCCCGCTGGAGTTGGCTGGAGGCGGGAGCTGTCCTGCTCTCCCCTTCATCACTGCGGGTGTCACACAGAGCAGGTGCTTGATCAATGATGCGCTTCAGGCAGGAGAGCGTGCACAGAGACACAAGGATCTGCCGAGGCAGGCAGTGGGCTGTGTGGGCTGCCTAGGGCCCAGGGGAGGCACCGGGGGCAGCACGGAGGAAGTCTGCGAAAGGGGTTGGGGTGGCTGTGTGGAATCTGCACTTTATATCATGGGCGCCCCAACGCCACACACCACGCTGGTCACCATGACGGGCAGCGGAGAAGTACAGGTGTTAGATGATCGGAGCTGCACCGAAGATGGGGGGTGGACCCAAGAGGGAGGTGGGGGCTAGAGAAGGCAGGCAGCTGTTAGCTCTGCTCCACAGACAGGGAGGCTCAGGCAGACGGGGGTCTACCCAAGGCCACCCAGCTGGCCTTGCACGAACTACAAGTTGCACTGGTTCTGAACTCTGGCAACTGCAGACACCAGAAGGCATATGGAGGAGAAAGGCTGTCCAGGAGTGGGGAGGCTACTGCCCCAGTCAGCGTCACATCTTGGACACAGTAGTAAAATCCCCGTGGCTTCATGCCCCGCACCGATTTCCTGCTCACCCCCGTCTACTCTGGCACTGGACAACCCCGACTGCTTTGAGTTTGTGGCACTCACATGACCACGCAACACAGAAAGAAGCCCCGGAGAGCCAGGTACCAGGAGGGACGTATGTTACAGCCCACTACAGTCCCCTGATCACACTAGTTCAACACCCCTGCTTGACAACACAGGGCCCAGGAAACAGCGTTGTGTGTCCAGGAAGGATCTGGACATCAGTAACGCCTACCTGGCGAGGCCCACAGGGAAAGTAAGGGCAGGCCGGGCAGCCCTGGAGCAGGGAGGTGTCCAGAGTTTTGTTCAGGATTTGGGTGTTAGGGCCGTTCTGGTCAGCTCTTCCTCGACGTAAGCCGGCCTGGGGCGTGCACCTGTCTGGGGAAGCTCTGGCACTCTAGCACAGAACAGAGGTGGCTGCACTCAAAACGGCCGTCAGTAGGAGGCCTCCGTTCTTCACCACGCGGGTCTCTCGAGGGCTACTGAAGTGTCCTCTAACATGGCATCTGGCTTTCCCCAGGGCAAATGAGAGCGAGCGAGCAGAAGTCATGACTTGGCCTTGGAAGTCATCCTCCACCTCTTCTTTTTTTATTGGTCGCACACACCAACCCTGAGTCACTGTGGGCGGGGACTCCGCAGAGGCAGGAATACCAGGCAGGGATGATTGGAGGCCACCTTGGAAGTTTATGCAGGGCACCTCATCCAGAGGACAATGTCTTCTTAATCCTTCCCGTCCTGCTCCGGCCTGAAGCAAGGTGCAGCCTGGAGAGGGAGGCAGGGCCAGGACAGACGGCCGCCTCGGCACACATAGAACAGAAACTCAAGTGGGGCCCGCAGACACGCTGTGCCTGCCTGACCCTGGAGCGCCCTTGCAACAACGCGCGGGGCCCTGGGCAGTTGTAGGCCTGGCTGCAGGCCTGTCTCCGCCCTTGTGGATCCTTCACACTCCCATGTTTGCCTCTGTGGCGCCCAGCGTGGGCCAGGTACAGAGGGGTGGCCAAACCCTGTCCCCAGTGAGTCACGCCTGACACGCACAGTCCAAGTGACAGGCGCCAGGAGGCGGGAGGAGAGCAGGCCACCTGGTGCCTGGTGCCGGGGCGGGGGCCCTTTGGGAAGTGTGGGGAGCACAAGGAAGGGCCCTGGAAAGTAAGGCAAGGGCAGCCTCCTGCTGGAGGGCATGCTGTGAGGACCCAGACATGGGGACCGGGGAGGGGGGGCCCTCTGTGTGCCCCATCCCAACACCAAACACCAGGCTGCTTCCAGGTTTTCTTGCGCCCCAGGATCCCACCTGCGACTTTAACTGGGCAACCCTCCTTGGACCTGGGGCTGCCTGCTTCTGACAGAGCACCCGGAAGAAATACTCATCTGAAAATTCCACCCCAGATGCCCGGAAGCGCTCCCCCCACCCCAGGCTGGGCACCGCCGGCCTCTCTCACCTCTCTCATTGCAAGGCTGTCTCACTGCTTCCTTCCCGGCCCCGGCCGCACCAAAGAAAGCAAAGCCCAAGCCGAAGTATCAGAAACGTGTATTTTTTCTTTTAATAGTAAACCTCTTTACAACAAATATAGTGAAAGAGTTTTCAAACAAAACTCATAAGAATCTCGAGGACTTTGTCTTTTCTTATTGTGTAGAATACTAAGAAAGCATCACCATACAGCACGAAAAGAAATATTGAAAACAAATCAACAGCCACACACTTGGACTCGCCCTGCCCCAGGACCCAGGAGCAGCCCCAGGAGTGTGGGTGATTGTCTGGTGTGGGGGTGGGGCACCTCCGTGGCCCGCCCCACCCCTCCTTCCCTCTCCCCTACCCCCTCCCGCCCTCTGGGACTTGCTGGGGAAGAGGAGAGAATCCAGATTCTCCATGGAACATTCCAGCCCCCTCCCCCCATACAAACCCCATTCCTTCTACCAACTGTTCAGGGTGCGGGGAGAGGCAGGAGAGTGAACAAGGAGTTCCCAGGCTCCCTGTCTCCTCCCCTCCAGGAAAAGCCCACGCCACCCCCACCCCACCCCAGGGGATTCCAAAGTCAGTTAAAAATATATAGATATAGATATTTCTAGATACACTTTTACATCGCTTCTGTCTCTCCAAACAAATAAATAATGAGCAAGAGAAGGTGCATTGCTTCCTTCCTGTCCAAGGTGGGAGGGCCGGGCGGGCGGGGGCAGTGCACTGCTGGGGAAGGGAGCCGGTGTGTTCTGTTGAGCGCGGGGAGGGGGTCCCCTGCTCTCTGTCCCTGAAGCTGTGGGAAACCTGGGGAGGGAGGGGCATTGGACAACTCCAGTGGTTACTTTGGCAAATGCCCAGTTCTTCAGAGGGAGTGGGTGGAGGCAAATTTGGCTTGTGAGAGGAAGAAAACTGAAGTTAAGTCCCCACTCGAGGCTGGGTTCCCAGGAACCCATTCATCTGGCCGGCCAGGAGCCCCTAACCCAACCCCCACCCCCAGCCCCTGAAACCTTGGGATACTGAATTGTAGAAATGTCATATATTCATTCATAGACACCCCCCCTTCCAGGGACAGAAAAGAAAGGACACACGCACACACACATCCACACACGGTCATCAAAGCCAGGTTTGCCTTAGGAGGCAGAGGGCAAAACTGGTAAATATTGCACCGTGAACTGCAGGGCCTGGGCCCCACCCCGTGTTTAACGGTGGCCAAGCCCGGCCTGGCGAGGCGGGTGGACGAATGGCGGGAACAGCCTGAGTAGGGAAGGCCGGTCGTTCAACATTTATTGAGCACCTATCATTTATCCACTCACCATTCAGCATTTCTTGGGCGCCTACTGTGTGCCAGGCACTGGGCAGGGTCCTGGGATGCATGCACGCGCAACACTGCACCCTGGCTTCTTCCAGGGCCTGACCGCATCTCATCAGCCCTGGACACACCCTGTGGGGGGCAGGCTGGGGTGCTGGGCATGCTGGGTCCTGGCACGGGGAGCGGGTGGGGTCTGCCGTGAGCAAGGGAGAGCTTGGCAAGGCCCAGGACCTAGACAGCGCTGCTCTATAAGCAGGACGAGGCTGGGGGGAGCAGGGCACCTGTGTGTGGAGGCAAAGGCTCCTGGCGGAGCCCCCAACTCCCGCAGAGGTAGGCTGCAGGGCGAAGCAGAGGGCCTTTGCCAAAGCCCCTCCCTGCAGTTTCACGGGGTCGGTTAAGAGCTGAGGGCGGGGTGAGGTGGGAAGGAGGGAGCCAGGGTCTCAGAGCCGGAAGCCAGCCCGTGCAGCGGGGAGCAGGGACAGCCTCCGTCCCTTTGTAAACACACAGCAGCCACACAGACACACGCAGCCACACCCAGCCAGGCTCAGAGACACACAGAGGGACAGCCCTGCAACCACACACACACACACACACACACACACTCACATAAATACAAAGGGACACTCAGACACATAAATACCAGATGCCCTCCTGAACACGCTCAGGGCCGGTGTGGTCGCACACACCCATCTGCTCTGGTTCCTTCCCTGCGCCAAGTGTCAGAATACTGTGCGAGGCCAGGTCCCTGGGGCAGCCAAGGACGGTCATCTACCTCCTGGGCCTTGTGGCTCTACTCGCCACGCCAACTGGGAGGACGCCCAAGGGAGCGCTGCACCCCAGGCAGAGGACGGGGCTTGCCCGGAGGAATGGGGCGGACTCCAGCCTGCCAGCCCCTGTCGCTCCAGGCCCGGTCCCTGGCGGGGGTGGTGGTGGAGCACAGGCTGCCCCCCACCCCTCCAGGATGATCTCTGATTGGGCCCCTTGCGGCCTTGGGGGTGGGGAGCAAGAACAACAGCAGATCGCCTCTGGACAGTTCGGGCCGTTTGAGTCGTTATTATTACAATATACTGTGACAAAAATAGATTCTCATTTCATATCAATACAACAACAACAACAGTTTCCTGGACTGGTACACCGCTAACGTTTTCCAAAGGTCGCTATTTACAATTACAGTAGCCAAGAGGGAAGGTGGGATGCGGCCTGGAGGTGGTGGGACAAGGAGGTAGCCAGACGACCAGGGCAGGCGAGGTGCCAAGAGCAGGGAGGTGGGGTCAGGAGCAGAGGGAGCTAGGAGGAGGGGCTGGGAGGAGGCAGGGAGGTGGACCCCCACAGATGGGACCCCACCCATAGGGACCTGGGCCTCTGCAGTCTGTCCTGGTGGCCATTCCTCTCTAAGCGCAGGTGCAGGGTGGACCAGGTTCCCTTCCCGCCCTCGTCCCACGGAAGGGTTCTGGCCTTCAGGCACCCAGGGAGGCCCGAGGCCCATTCTCACGCCTCCCCCCACCAGCCCCCTCACTAAAGTTCCTCTCCCCGATTCTCCCCACACGTGGTGGCCAGCTTCACGGGGCCGGCGACCAGCGAGGGCCGGGGAGCTATTGCACTGTGTATCTTAGAGAAAAGCTGGGGGAGGGAGGGGCCTGACCCTTACCTGGCCTAGCCCTTCTCTGGCCCCACCGCCACCCCTCAGCCCTCTCCTCATGGCTCTCTCTCTCTCCAAATGTGCTTCCAGACAGGCACCACCTGAAATCCTGCCCCCAGCCTCGGATCCCCATGCAGTCTGCCCCACCCAAAGGCTCAGCCAGCACCCACGTGCCTCGGGGGTGCAGCGCACACAAGGATCAGTGAGCATGACCTGTGTGCGTGCACCTGCGTGCATGGGTGCTCGGGGCCAGGCGTGCCTGGGGCCTTGGGAACAGCCCAGAAGCAGAGATCCTGCTCAGAACCTGTGCCTTACTCTCCCCTTGTAACACAAACCTACTCATCAAGCCAACTTTGGGGTTTCAGTCTATTGTACAGGGTTTTTTTTGTTGTTGTTGTTTGGTAATTTTTTGGTTATTTCCCTCTATCTGGGGGATGGGGTGGGTTCGGCACCTGTCCTTTCCCCAAGGCCTACTGGGCCCCCACCCCCTTCCTGCAGCATATGTGTACAACGTGCAAAGTGTCCCCCCCTTCCCGCAAAAAAGAGAGCCCCCAGCCAGTGAAAACGGGGGGAGGTGGAGAAAGAGGGAACGAGAGCATCCCCTCTCCAAAGCGAGAATCCAAATTAAAAAAAATATAATAATAATAATAATATAATAATAATTATACACAAATGTAACCGTCAACAGGACACGGAGCACAACAAAGGAAGTGGGGGTCGAGCGGGAGGAGCCCAGGCGGGGAGGGCGGGCGGTGAGATTGTCAACTCTTCATCAGGGAGGCTGAGGGGAGGGAGTGGGAGCCATCACTTTAATGTCTGTGGAGAGAGGAGACGGAGAAGGGGTGTGAGGGGCTGGCCCAGGCTCTGGGGACCTGCCCCCGCCCCTCTCCCCACAGGGCCGGGAGACGTGGCAGGCGGGGACCACGGGGACGTCCCCGGTCCCAGGGTGCATCAGGCGCTGGCGGACGGGCGGGGCGGCGCTACAGTACCCAGGTATCGAGCCGCATCCTCTTCACAGCTGAGCCCTCAGCGTCGGGCTCTGGGGCTGGGCGCAGCAGGCCCAGCGTGGGCCCGAAGTCCCCCCGGCCATCATCCCGGTCCCCCGTCTCGTAGGCTCCCCCAGCTGGGCTGCTGAGGCTGTCATCTGGCTCCGGGCGGGCAGCAGGGAACACAGCTGGAGGGGGTGGCGCAGGGCTGCGCTCTCGGCTGGGGGACACGGGTTCCGACTTGATGCTGATGTGGGGGTGGGTGGTGACCGTGAGGGCTGCACCCACGTGGGGCAGGGGGCTGCCCGGGCTGGAGGTGGGCAATGATGGGAGGTCCCGTGACAGAGGCGAGAAGGCAGTGAGAATACGGAGGGAGCACGGGGGTGGGGGGGTGGGGTAGAGCCAAGGGTCAAAGGAAGGGCAGGAAAGAGAAACAGGAATGTCAGTTGGCTTCCAGCCCAGGTCATCCCTCGGTGGTCCAGGGAGCCCACCCAGGGGCGCCTACTAAGGATGGGCCACCCCGCAGGACACCCATCTCCAGGGGATGTGGCGCGCTCCCATCCCCCACCCCCACGTGCCACACGAGCACTCACATGAGGCTGCTGAGTGACACGGGGACCAGGTGGGACTGCTGCTGAGGGGGCTGCGGCGGCTGCTGCGGCGGCTGGGGCTGCGGCGGCTGTGGCTGCGGCTGCGGCTGCGGCGGCTGCGGCTGCTGGGGCTGCTGGGGCTGTTGCCAGGCGGTGACGTTGCCTAGCGACAGCCCCCCAGGCGAACTGAAGGCTGGTAAGGACGAGAGCTCCGCACTGGTCAACTGGTAATCTGCAGGGGAACAGGGCGGGGTGAGCCGGGGTGAGGGCGCAGGTGGACCACACACCCCAGGGGAGATGCGCCCAGAGTTGGGGGATGCGACAAGCAGCACGACGCCAAGGGGCTGCTTTCCACTCAACAGATGAAGACAGAGGTGGTTTTTCCAACAGGGTTGAACTTGAAAAAAAAAATTCCCACATACCTATCACTTTTACAGTGACAGTTTTTAAAAAGGGGAGAGAAAGGGGAAAGTCTCAGATGTCTAACTGCCACCTCTCCTCCTGCCAAGTCTCCAGGTGCCTTTCCGAGGCGATGGGGCGCCATGGTAAACGCCAGACAAACGGCGCCTCAGAAGCAAACCCCTGCGAGTGCCATGTCGCCTCTGCAGCGTGCCCAGGTCCCCCCCAGACCGATAAATACTTAAAACAGGAAGCGGCCTGGGCTCGAGGTGCCTGCCACCTGGTTCTCACGCACCGTAGCACAGGGGTTCCGGGGGCCCCACACCGGCCAAGGGCCTGGCAGGGTTCCTGGGACAGGCACTCCTCAGTTCCTAAAATGTCCATCTCAAGGACGAAACGACTGTGTCTGCACCGCCACAGAGCAGCAGAACCACGAGGTGCTCCCCAGTACACAGCACTGCGATGTCTCCCGGTGCACCCTGTCTGGGACCCCAGAGAGGCTGCACTGTGACAGCAGGAGGGCAGGCGGGGGTGGGGAGCACAGCCCAGCCACCCACCGTGTCGCCACGATGCTACTCCTCAGGGGCCATCTGCTACAGCCTTCTGTGTGCAGGGAGATGGTATCACAGAGGCGTGAGCTACGGACGAGGTCAAACTTCCTGGCTACCTGCACGTACAGGCCCTGTGGCCTTGGGCAAGTGCTTACTCTGTCTATAAACCGGAGGCAATAATCCTCCGTTCGGTGCACAGCTGCCACGAGGCCCGAGCGAGTATGGACGCGGAGGGCGTGCAGAACAGCGCCTGGCTGGGCAAAGATGTCACAGTCTTTGCTGTGAGCCTGGAGTCCGCCCCAGGCTGTGCAGAAAGCCAGCCGCACAGCTCAGACCAGACCCTGAGCTCCTTACGGTCACTAAACCTCCCTCCACCGAGGGTCCCCGCTTGCCTGGGGTCTCGTCATGTTGGCCACTAGGTGTGAGATGCTTACGCTCATGTTTAAAAAGCGCAGCAAGGGCAGAAACAGGCCCTAGAACCAACCATTCCCAATACTTATCTTACAATCGAGTTAAGCCCAGAACCGTGCCGTGCCTTGCCCAAGGTCCCTCTGGGGAATGAACAGTAGAGACCCACCTCCCAGTCCTGTCCTGTCCCACCAGGCTCCAAGCCCTGTCGACTGGGAAGCTGAGTTCCCTGCCCCCAGAGCCACTGCAGCCAGACCTTGGCAGCCAGTGTCAACAGGGGCCAGGCCCATCCCGTCCCCAAGCCATTCCCCCAGCCAGATCAACCCCAGCTGGAACCTGACCTGGGCCAAGGGCTGTAAACAGTGACCAGCTAAACAGCCATGTGCTCGCCGGTGTTTTGTTTACGCATGCAGGGTCACCTGACCACACCTGCTGTTTAGGCTGAAGTCCACTCAGCGACTCCAGCAGCAGGAGGAACTGCAGCCTGCTTTCTGAGAGGACGCGAGGACCACCACACACTTCCCAGGGGGGCTGCACACGCAGGCGCACGAACCGCTCTCGCACCAGTGACCGACCACTCTCTGTCTAGACACCAGCGAACTTCCCTCGGGCTTCACAGAGACGGTGGGCAACCAGGAGACAGCAGGAAGCCACCACCGCGGGACTCCCCAGCAAACATCAGCTACTGAAGCCCCCCGGGCCCGCGCCGCAGCACAGCAGGTTAAGCCACTGTGTGTGATGCCGGCATCCAATATGGACTGGTTTGAGTCCCGGCTGCTCCACTTCTAATCCAGCTCCCTGCTCATGTGCCTGGGAAAGCAGCGGGAGATGGCCCAAGTACCGGAAGAAGCTCCCGGCTCCCGGCTCTGGCCTGGCCCACCCCTGGCAGTTGTGGCTATTGGGGGAGTGAATCAATGGATGAAGATCTCTCTCTCTCTCACTTTGCCTTTCAAATAAAAAAACAAAAAACAAAAAACAAAACAAAAAAAAAAACACTCCAGCCCTACCCCCCACCCCCCTGGGGCAGGGCTGGAGGAGCCTCAAAGACCTCATGCCCTGCGGGCCCCACTCCTCTAGCAGACAGCACCCGGCTCCCAGGTGCAGCTTCCGAGGCGGTCTTCCCCGAGCTGCGGTGGGCCCGCCCATGGCTGCACACACAGGGCCAGCAGGAGCCTGGAGACAGAATCTGACCCAGCTGCACACTGGCCCCACATGAGCACTCCCCCAGTGCTCAACCTGCTGTGGATGGCGTTCCTCCAGGCGCATCCCCTTGGGGTACGGCCCGGGCTCTGGTGCCCACATGGCCCTGGGGAAGCTCGGAGGTTTGTGTGTGCTTTAGCCTGCGTCCTCACAGGAACAGCCCCCAACCCAAGCCACCCACATGCCCCAGGGCCTGAGGGCAAGCAGGGTCTCTTCAGCTGACAACAGCCCGGGCTCCCCGGGCCACACAGCACCACAGGGACAGGTGACAAGCCATGTCCCAGGGGGGAGTCCTTGCTGACCCAGCAGCACAGCGCGCAGGCAAGGATGGCCAGAGTGTCACAGACTGCTCCCACGTGGAATGAGTGGGCGACTCAGGCCAGGACAGCCTGGGGATGGAGGACAGCGGGGCACTTGGTGTTCTGTCTGAATTTGTCTGCCCAGGGGCCCCTGCACCTGTGTCCTCGGGTAACTCCTCACTTTCCCCCTGCTCCCTCCCGCCCTCAGCACCCCCCCCCTCACCTCCAGCCCACATCAGACCCTTCTCTCTCTCCTCTGCCCAGCCCTGGGGCCCTCGCTGGTCCTCTCAGGAAAGCTGGCCAACTGACCCAGCTTGCACTTCATGGTTGTCTCTGGTCTCTCCACCTCCAGGAAGTCTCTCTGAACTGCCCATGTCCCCTCCCCACTCCCCACAAACGAGGTGGAGCCTGGTGGGCCTCCTCTGTTCTGTCCACTCCTGCTCCTCAGGCACGAGGTTTCCCAAGGACAGGGCCTGCCCCCTCCATCGGGGCGGCTTTAAAAAGCCAGGAAGCCCAGGGAGATCTCTGTCTCAGATCAAACAAGGCGGAGCGTGTTAGCTAAGTGCATCTTCGGGCCGCACTTAATCAGAACATCTTTGTGATATATGCTCAAAAATTACTTGTTTTATCTGAACTCTTAATGGGCATTCTATGCCTTTATTTGCTAAATCTGGCAATCCTAGCTGCGGGGGGCTCCCCCAGATCAACAGCCTTCCTCAGGCACGGCCCTCCCTGGGGGGCACCTAACGTTCCCTCTCTGATCACTCGCCTGCCCCAGGCCCAGGTATACACATTACGTGTCCCACGGTCACTCACCTGTGTTGTAGGCAGTGGGCATGGAAGAGAAGGGGAGGCCTTGGCTGAGTAAACTTGGTGTTGCCACGGAAACCACTGGGGTGGTGAGTGAGTGGGTAGACTGGGAGACCCCAAGGCGCTGGGCATTGTTCTGTGGGAGAAAGCTGTCCGTCAGGAGGTGGCAGAAGGGTGGCCTGCTTTATGCTGGCCCTCCATCCCAAGGCTAAACTGGCGCCTGGAATCCCAAGGCCAACGTGGGGTGCCTTAGCAAGGAGGCCCCGTAGCCACACACACACACACACACACACACACACACGGAGGCTGGTGCATTCACAGAGATGCCGCAGTCCACGGACAGGATCATCATGCACACGCAGATTCACTCACACCTACACATGTGCAAAGAGGAAGGCCCGGCTGCTGCCCAGGGGCCCAACACCAACACTGGGCACAGTCTCCTGGGACACAGGGAGAAGAGGAGGGTCCTCTCCCTCCCCTCCTCTTCTCCTGGCCAGTACCCCTGCAGTCTCCTCTCCAGCCCTCGCACTGCCGCACACGTCCCAGCAGAAGCACCCTGGTATCTGGGGAGGGGCGTGCGGGGCCTGGCGTGGCGTGTGCCTGCGTGTATGCACACACGTGTGTGGGGCTGTCAGCTCCATCTGCTGCTGAGTCACTTGTTTATTCCAACTCCACGCTGGGGCGAAACTGCTGCCGTGTTGGCCGCCAGAGCCTGCCTGCCTTTTCCAGCCTTTCTGGCCTCCCGTCAGGGAGCTGGGAAGGGAGGAGCCCCTGTCCCACTCTAGGCTGAGATCGGGCGGGCACGTGTGAGGCCAGCCGGGGCCGGGGTGGATGCTGCCCACACCTCTGAGTGCCCGCAAGACCGGCTGAGGGCAGGAGGCAGCCCGGGCAGGTGGGCAGGTGGGGAAGCCCCCACGGAGAAGCCCACTCCGGCCTTGGTTTGGGCCTCAGCTTCCCCTGGGAAACCCACTTTACTGTCTAGCTGGCATCTCTGTGGGCCTGAGCAGAGTCCCAGGGCTCTCGTGGGATCTGAGGGCTACTCTGGGCAGCAGGGCTGGGACCCTGGAGGCCTGGGGCTGCCCTCTCCCCCTTGCACATATGCACAGCCACAGAGAAAGGGTTGTGTGAATGAATGCAATGTCACATAAGGCACCCCACACACGGCCACACACGCGTGCATGCCTCCCCTCGCCCCCGCCCCATTCACCTCGGCATCCCGCTTGGCACGGAACACAGCTCCAGGCAAACAACCAGATCACACCCACTATGCACACAGGCAGGCGACAGCACAGGGCACACACGTCCTCCATGCTGGGGGCTGCAGAGCAGCGGGCAGGGCCGCAATTCAAAGCCAGAGCAAACGTGTCACAGCCTCACTTACCAGGTCTAAATGGTCCTCAGTCTGAGAGCAGAAACAAAACCAAGGGCAGGCTTCAGCCTCTGGCCTCCGCCCTCCCCCACACCTCCGTCCCTCCCGCCATTCCATCCACCTCCTGGCCCAGGGAAGGATGGTGCTCCCCAGCCTGGACGGACGGCGTCTTCCTGACTGCGTCCCCATCTCCACCGCTCAGGAAATCCTCACCTCCCAATCCCAGGCCTCCTGCTGCCCTGATAAATCCTTTCCGTCTTCCTCCCTGTTACAGAACCTTCCCCACATCTCCTGTCCCTTAGCTGGTACTTCTGTGTTCCAACATCAGAAGGCTCTCTGGGAAGGGCGAGCCCTCCCCCAGGAAGTCCTAACAGCTGGCTAACCTTTGCCTCTCCTGCTGCAGGTCTGCCCTTGCCCCCTCCCCACTCACCAAGTGATGCATTAACCCCTTTCCTCCCTGGGAGGTGATGACCCGCAGGTCGGGCTTGCGGCTGGGGGCTCCGAGCTGGGCGCCGTGGGGGGGCGGGGGTGGAGACTTGGCAGGGATGACCTTGTTGAGGCTGTTGCCATTGGCCACAGGGAGGAGGCCGGGGGAAGCCCGGGCACTGACGTAGCCGTTCCCTGGAGAAGTGAGGAGAGGAGGGGAGGAGGAAGACCACGGCCTCCCCGTTAGTGCCTGCCCTTGTCCACGCCCGCCCCTAGCGCCCGGGACCTCTGACAGCTGCGCCTGGGCTGGGAGTGGGCGCTGAGCTGGTGTCCTTAAAGCCATCCAGTCTTGCAGGAACGGAAGTAAGAAGAGCCCTCACTCCCGAATCACTAGTTCACTGCCCTGCCCCCAAGATACCCGTGACAGGCCTGGGTGCTCCGAGGCCGCAAAGGGAACGCGGCTGTGACCTCCGGCCCAGTGCTGGCCGGGAGGTTCTACTACGGCTGGGCCTCTCCTTGCGTTATGCTCTTCTTTGGTACCTGTTCAGTCCAGCGCTCTTAGCGCCCAGAATCTGCCTTGGACAGGACTGGACGGCCGCGTGGGGAAGGGGCGACAGCCGGAATCAGCCACCCTGAGGAGCCCGGCCACCCACCGCTCGGCGTGCTCCCTACGCCATCGGCTGGGGAGGCTGCTATTTGCAGCACACGGGCGAGCTGCCTGCGGCCAGGGGAGACAAGCTGCTTGGCCATGGCGACAGGCCTCCTGGCACTTAAGCACCGCTAACACGGCCACCAGCAGCAGCCGACCGGCAGCGATGAGCGATGAGCGCCGCGCTCCGCCATCTCCACAGGCCTTTCACACACATGCACTATCTCATCTGATCCTCACGATAACCTGCAGAACGGCCAGGACAGGTGCCATCAGCCCTGGCTCAGCCTGCCTGGGAGAGGTGTAACAATCCGTGCAGGGCCACACAGCTGGGGCCCTCGCCTGCCTTCCACACGCTGGACGTGAGGGCCTACACGCATCCCTGTTTGGGCCAGGCCTGCAAGTTTCGCTTTGGGGCTCTCATTGGAGTGGGAGGGGATTCACCCATTCTCCCAGGTTCCCGACCCCAGCGCCCGAGCAGTGCCCGACGACTGAGGCTGGGCGGGGGACTCTGAGGGCTGAGGGTGCGGGGGCAGCCAGAGTCAGAAATGCCACCTTGCCCTGTCCCCCAAGAGCACGCAGTCACCCTGGAAGTGTGTGGCTGCCTCCATCCCATTCCCGGATCACTCTGAGAATGGCAAGAATGTCAGGTGACGTCAGCGGTGACGTTCGCAGTCAGCCACCAAAACAGACAGGAGCACAGGACAGCCGGGACTGCGGGCTGCAGGGTGGGGGACAGGGCAGCTGCCCTTCTTCTGTGGCTTGCACGTGTGTGCTTACAGTTATTTCCGTCAGCATCAGAGCGAGAACGCACAGATGTGGGTGTGTACGGCCCGTGCTTACAGTGGTCCACGTAGCACCAGGCACTATCACCCCCCCAAGACCAGCACCCCACTCGCTGGAAGCCCTTAGATCCTCTCCTCCAACTGGGAATGCTGCTTCATTCTGTGTCCCAGAATTCCCGAGCCTACATCTCTACTGCTCATCCACACCCATCACTGCCACAGGCCACAGAGTCCAGGGGCCTGCACTTCGGACCCTGGCTTCTTCTTCTGCACTGCTCTAAGTCCTTCCGGGTCCCAGGGGCGGAGGGGCAACCCTGCCCACCGCCAGGCAGAAGGGCGGCGGCACTCACCGACGGGACTGGGACAGGCTCCGTTCGCGCTGGTGAGGTCTCCCCCCAGCATGGCCCCTGGAGGGAAAGCAGAAACGTGATGAGCTGGCAGCACTCCCCGTCCCACACTGAGTCTTGGGGACCCCGGGAGGAGGGGCCGCACAATCGGGGGACTGCTGCATGGGGGAAGGGAAACACTCACTGTTGAAAATGAACTCCCCAAGTCCCCAGCACGGCTCACTCCCAGCCCTCACCTGCACTGGCTGGCCGCTGGGGCAGGCCGGGAGACACACTGTTCCTCTGTAGTGCTGGCTGCTGGGGGGACAGGAGCCGCGGGTCCGTGAGGGACGACGTCACCAGGGAAGGGGTGACCAGGGAGCCGCTGGGGTTGCTGAACTGCAGGGAGCTCTGGTTGGACACGGGCACCGTGACAGGCATGGCAAAGTTGGGGGCCGGGACAGCTGACTAGACAGAAAGACGGAGGGGTAAGTCAGGCCGGGGTGAGCCCAGACCCGGGGCCCACGCTGCCTGAGAGGGAAGGCGAGGGCTCTTCTGGCTCCCAGGCGGTGCATCCTACGGCCAGCAGCTGGGGCTCTCTGCCCTGGGCCCTCCTGGAGTCCTGCCTGCCACTCCCACCGAGGAAGCGCACTGGTGGGAGCGCTTTGGGATCCCGCTGTGGCCCGGATGACGAGACCTAGGCGCTGCCCGCTGCACACAGGACCAGGGCCGCCCCCTGGTGGAGGTGGATTAGTCCTCAGCCAGCCAGGACACACGGGGAGCAGGTTAGAACCCAGGAGACCCAAACTCACACGCAGCAGTGAAAGGCCTGCGCCCCCTCACTGCCTTCCCCGAAACGATGCTGAGTGTCGGAAGCTGGGTCTCCACTCCCCCAACCCCCCACCCAAATGACCTGGGGAAAAAGCACTCTCTACGCTCCTGTCCTCCGTACACTGCTCGCTGGGGGAGGGGCACGCCGCAGGCCTCTTCAGCCTACGTGCCTCCCAAGAGGAGGCTCAGCGAGGGTCACAGGTTCGTCACGGCCAAGGCCAGGGGTTCCTCAGTGGTCACTACAGCCCCAGCACGGCTCAGAGCGGAGCAGCCATCCGAGGCAGCCGAGGGCCGGGCGCGAAGCCACACCATGCACCACAGGGAGGCTCTCCTCCATGCGACTACTCACGGCCAGTCTATAACTCTGCATCATTTTATCAAACTCCTCGTCTATCTTTTTATATTTCTCCTCCGTCTGGGGGGTCAGGGCAAACACCTCGTCCACCTCAGGGCTCTCACATTCCCTGTGCTTCTTGTGCAGCGCCTGGGGGAGGGGCCGGAGGGGGCCAACAGAGACACAGTGAGTGGGGCTCACCCCGTAGCGCCGGAAGAGCCCGTCCAGCTCCTCGCTGGCGCGCCGGTACTTGTCCTCCAGCAGGGGGCTCTGCTCCAGCGAGTCCTCCCCGTCGGGCTCGGGGCTGTCGCAGCCGTTGAAGCCCTTCTTCCTCAGGGTCTGTAACCGCACAGCAGGCCGAGGGTCCTCCCAGCCCCGCTAAGAACCCCCCTCCGCCCCCTTCCTCAGGGTTCCCGGGGCCCAGCATCTCCCCACCCCGCCCCACCCCACTGGGCCACCGCGTGTTCTCCAGGGGGACATGATCAGGGTGGCTTGGCCCATCCCAATCCCCAGGCTCTGCTCAGTAGAACGGGGAGTGTAAGAGAGAGAGAAGGGGACATAGAAGAGCAAAAGGGGGAACTAGTACTTATTGAGCTCCTACTGTGTACCACCATACAAACTGTCAATGCCAGAGGTCAGAGCTTCTCCTGTGCACCCCCAGCGCTGATCTGAACAAAGTGGGGGCACGTGGAAGGGCCTGCAGTTGGCCCCCAAACTGCCCCCACCAGGCTCAAAATATCTTTACAGACACCTGCTTCATCTTCAAAAGCAATGTAAATTGTACATTCTAGTCTAGGGGGAATCTGCTTTCTCAAACATAAAAACGAGGGCACCTCCTCCAAATCTCTGGGGCAGCCTGTGCCTTCCTGGGCGTCCTCGTGGTCGGCAGAGGTTCTGCACCCCAAGGTGTGTGCACCCTGGTGTGAGCAGCAGGAGCTGGCTCATCTCATTCTATTCACATCGTGTCCTTTAAAGCAGGCATGGGCCCCAGTCTGCGGAGGGAACACCACGGCTCAGGGAGGCCAAGCCACCTGCCCAAGGCCACGTGGCCGGCAAAGGCCAGAGCTGAATTCCAAAGCTCATGCATGTCCTTCACCCGTTCACAATGTCAGCTCTCTTTGAAACAGGAAACAGAGCCACAGGACAGAGACAGAACAAGAGAGATGGAAACAAAGAGGGAGGCACAAAAAGGAAGAGGCAAATACAGGAAGGAGCAGACTAAAAGATGGAGAGAAACAGGGGGAAAGAGAGGGAGGGGTACACACCTGCCAGACAGGAGACACATCAGAGAGGGTGGGGTGAGCCACTCCACCCGAAGCCTAGCTCGGGGGCCCAGCACTGGCCCGTCCACCTGCCCTGCTCCCTCCTCCTGCTGGGGCTCTGCACGTGTGCACAGGGGGGAGCACGGCGCGGGGCCCACCTCGATGATGTCGGCGTTGGTGCGGCTCTCGTGCGGCTCGTTGTACTCCGTGTACTTGAGCAGCACCTTGTCCATGTCGGTGCTGGCGTACTGGAACAGCTTGTTGGAGTGGTTGAAGATGATGAGTGCGATCTCGCAGTCACACAGCACGCTCAGCTCATACGCCTTCTTCATCAGCCCGAACTTCCGCTTGGTGAATGTCACCTGCAGCACAGGAGGTGGGTGGCCAGGTCTGGCTCAGTCAAGGCCTGCCCGGGAGCCTCCACCCACAGGCAGCTGGCCACAGCCCTCGCCCCAAGGAGCCGCCATTCTCAGGGAGGAACAGGCGGACAACCCTTTCTAACGCTTGGCCAAAACACATCCGGAGCCAGCTCACTGGTAGGGGCGGATTTCCAGGACTAAACTCCACTCCTCGGTGCTGGGGGCTACCGAGAGGTCATGGAAGAGAATAAAAGGGCTTTCTGGAGCGAGAAGAGGGGAAGGATTCCCTTGGGGACGTGGGGAAAGCCCAGGCATGGCCCCAGGGTGGGGGCACAGGTCCATCTGGCTGCAGTGGCAGAAGGACTTGGAAGTCCTGGGACACAGGGTTCCAAGGGCTGCCATGAGCTAGGGACCCCTCTTCACCCAACTCCGCTCCTTTTAGAGTCCCTCTTCTTCCGAGAAGCCCTCCTGGAGTACTTGGAAGGAGCCGAGGCGGAGGTCAGCTCCTGGCCCTCCCTCTGTGGGGCTCTTAGGACTTCCTCACCTGCCGGTTCCGCTCATCGGTGATTCGCTGAATCTGAATCTTTTTCCTCCCCATCTTCTCTGGGGATCCTCAGTGCCAGGGAGGGGAGGGGCTTGCTGGGTGGTGGGCGACGGCACACCTTACGCTGTGCTCATGAACGGTCCGGGACCGGCGCTCAGTTCATGGTCTGTAGGGCGCCTACTGCACAGCCTCCTGCGGGTGGTGGGAAGGGGTGGGTGGTAAAGAGAACCTGCAGCCCCACCCCTCGGCGCCCAGCATCTGAGTCCCACCTGCAGGATGGGCCTCAGGCAATGGCTCGCCAAGGCAGGCCCGAGCGGGAACTCTGGTCCACACTCCTTCCCCGCGGTCGCCGCTGCCCCCAGCTCCCCCCAGCTCCCAGTGGGACGCCCTGGCTGCCGAGGCGGCTCTGGGTCTCACAGAACGCCCCTCACTCCCTTCCCCTCCCCGGAGCCTGCCAGCCACTCCAGTGGCCCCTCTGGCCCAGAACTGCTTCCCACCCTGGAGCCCGGGGCACGGGCGTGCTGAGTGAGCACCTGCCCAGCCTGTGAACAGCAAGCCCGGCGTTCCTGGGGCCATGGTGGGCTTCCTTAGGTACCCTGGCTCCAGAACATCCCACAGCAGGTCTAGGGCGGTCGTCCTCCCCACCGGCTCAGGGCCCTGGGGCCTGGAGCCCCACAGCGGGCTTTAGGGCAGCAGAGCCCCATCCGCCTTCCCCCAGAGCTCCTCTGCACCAACCTGTTTGACTCAGCGGGCCTGGGGGGAGCTGGCACTGTGGTGGAGTGGGTAAAGCTGCTGCCTGCAAAGCCAGCACCTAATATGGACGCCAGTTCATATCCCGGCTGCTCCACTTCCAATCCAGCTCCCTGCTAATGGCTTGGGAAAAGCAGTGGAAGATGGCCCAAGTGCTTGAGCCCCTGCACCCACGTGGAAGAGCCGGAAGAAGCTCCTGGCTCCTGGCTTCGGTTAGGCCCAGCTCCAGCTGTTGTGGCCATTTGGGGAGTGAACCAGCAGATGGAAGACCTCTCTCTGTCTCTCCCTCTCTCTGTAACTATGCCTCTCAAATAAATAAAAATAAATAAATAAAATCCTTAATAAAAAAAAAAAAAAGAGGGGATCTGTTCCATGAAACAAAGGAACTAGGGCTGGTGCTGTGGCGTAGCGGGTTAAGCCGCCGCCTGCAGTGCCAGCATCCCACATGGCCGTGCTGTTTTGAATCCCGGCTGCTCCACTTCTGATGCAGCTCCCTGCTCATGGCCTGGGAAAGCAGCAGACGGTCTGAGTGCTTGGGCCCCTGCCATTCACATGGAGACCTGGATGGAGATCCCGGCTACTGGCTTCAGCCTGGGCCATCCCCAGCCATTACAGCCATTTAGGGAGTGACCCAGCAGATGGGAGAGCTCTCTCTCTCTCTCCTTCTCTCTCTCTGTAACTCTGCCTTTTAAACAAATACATTTTAAAAGCAAAACAAAACAAAGAACTAACAAACCATCCCTCCAGACCAGAGGCCAGCAAACTGTCTGTGAAGAGCCAGACAGTAAACAGTCCAGGCTGTGCCAGCCGTGCAGCCGTTCCTGTTACGACTCAGCTCTGCCACTGTGGCATGAAAGCAGTGGACAGCTACACGTACGTGAATGGGTACGGCTGTGATCCAGTAAGACTATATACACAAACGGGCACGCCCCAAACCGGGCCCACAGCTTATGCTTGCTGACTGCTGCACTAGAGATGGGCCATGTTTCGAACCCTAGCTCGGCCTAGAACAGTGTTTCTCATGCACACCTTGAAGCACACGGAGAAGACACAGGGCCCACCGGGAGCGCCAGCATCAGGCAGGGGGTCACCATCACAGTACCCCTGTGGTGCATTCTCGGCTTGCTGGCTGAACAGCTCCAGGTCTAGACACGGGATGGGAAACAGAACCCCTGCACCATGGGACGGGACGGGGCCCAGGATGGCAGCGCAGCCCGAGCCAGAGAAGGCGATGCTCTCGGCTGTGGGCAGAGCGCACGTGGGCTAGGGACTAGAACCATGGGTGGCATGGAGGCACGAGATGACCTCAGGGCCCCTCCAGCTGTGTGATTCTAGGAGTCCCTTCATCAATGGTGGAACTTTCTGGAATATGAGGAGCAGTAAGCATGGGGCCCATGATTCTAAAGCTACACCTGTTGAGGTGTGGGAGGAGCCTAACTCGAGAAGTGGAGGCCTCCCCTCCATGGAGCCCCTGTCCAGAGACCTGCCTGCCTGTCCGGCCTCCCCAACCTGGAGAGAGGCATCCTGGGGGCGTGTGATGACACAGACCCCTGCCTTCCCACTACCCATGGCCCTGGAGCCTTTCCGGCCCCAGTCAACACGGGCCCCAAGCTACCACAGTAGAGGCCAACGCTCAGCCTTGGCATCCTGGCCATGGAGGGAAGGGGGCGAGGAAGGCAGGGAACCCTAGGGCTCGGGGGTCCAGGATGCCTCGTTCCCGTCGTCCCCATCACCAGGCCCATCCCTCGGGCTCTTCCCAGCTGGAAGCAGAGCTCCTGCCGACTCCCCAGAAAAGGATCCCAGCACCCTCTTCTGTCCTGGGCCTCCTGCACACACCCCCACCAGAACGACAGCAACACCAGCCCAGCCAGCTCTGAGTGCCCAGCAGTCAGCTTGCCATCCCACTCCCTGCCTGAGACGCCCGTCTCTGCCCAACTCCCACTGCAGCGCCCCTACCCCTTAGCACGCTCCAGAGACCGTGCCTTCCAGAGCTATGGTGCAGTGGGCTTGGCAGGGGCGTGGGGAGGGCTACGAAGAGCTGGCTTTCCCAGTGGCACCCTCTGGCCTTGACAATGCACTCCAGACTGCAACTGCAGGACCGCTGGGCTCCTCGGGCTCACAGCAGCTCCCTTCCCTCCGTCCCTCCGTCCCCCTCTCCCCAGCTTTCGTTCATCAGCAAATTCCAACACGGATTTAACCTCTGTCAGCTCACGGTCAACACAGTCTCTTCTTCCAGGTTGGGAGAGAACCTTCTGTTTGTTCTCATGACACCTAGAAAAGCCATCTTGCCATCTTCCTAGCACTTGGGACTACATAATTACCATTCTGTGCTCTTATTTCCAGTCTGGTTCCCCAGGAGACTGAAGCTTGCTGAGGGCAGGAACCGCGTCAGTTTCTCACTACTCTACCCCTGTAAGGAGCTCAGGGAACGTCTGTGGATGGGAAGAGAAGAGCCTTTCATTACTGCGGCCCTGGGAAGTCCTTCTTGCAGTCTAACCTCCACAGTCGTGCTGCAGAACCTGCTCCTCTCACTCCACCCTCTGTGGAGCTGGAACCCTTCCTTTCCCAGCTGCCCTGAAGACTGTCCACTCGGACACTAGCACCCTCCAGTCACCCCGCCACCCAGACCTCAAGCTTCCCCATCCCCGGGGTGGCTAGTGCAGAGGGTGAGACTCTAAAGTCTTCCAAGGAGCAGCCCTGAGCACATGGAGATGGAGAGGATGGGGTTGCTTAGGCAACTGTCGCCTGGCAACCAGCTCCCTGGCTGATCTCCTACACCGCCCCCCCCACCCCCGCCTCATGCTGGGGGAGCTGGGATGCAGGAGGGATCAGGGCTGAGAAGGCAAGGAAGCCGCAGAGACCCACGGAGTCATCCCTGTGGAGGGAAGCAGGGTGAAAAAGACCAGGACCCCCAGCCCTCACTCCCGCGGAGGCGGCCCAAGCACTTTCTCGGGAGCTGTGGGCTCCCAGGGCCCTTTCCCCACTGCTGCTCCACTCTGTGCCAAAGCTGCCAAAACTATGGCAGTCCTTCCTCCTGTCTAACCACGAGCTCTCCTACGAGGCAGGATCCGTCTGTACTAACCTCCATCCCCTGTGTCATTCACTCCGCATTACTACAGGGTCTTTGAAGGCTCTGAGGCAAGAACATGAACTCAACCCTGACTTTGGGAGGAAGGGGGGAGGTGCCGAGATGGGCACAAAGGACCCTAAACAGACCCCAGCCAAAGTCTGTCCTGTCCAAGCTTCCCTCCTACCCAATTAAGAGAGATTTTAATGAACACCTGGACCTCCTTAATTAGCCCTCTGCCTAATTACCTACCCAACTGCCAGGAGCCAGAGGCTTGGGCATCTGTTCTCCAGATGTGAGCTTGCCTCCCCAGTCTGGCCCGCTGTCATGCCTCGTCTCGTTTCCGGCCTACTCCTCCTCCAGGAAGCCCCCTCAGATGAGCCGGCCCTTGGCAGCTTCTCTAACCCTCTCTTCTCATTCTGCCTGGTATCTGGAGTCCAAGGCTTGGGAAGGCTAGGGCTGCCAAAGGGGCAGGGGGTTGGCTAGCATGGTCTTCTTGCTCTGACGGCCCCAGGGCCTGCCCTATGCTGACCTCAGGCACAGCCGTGACCTCTGGAGCTGGCAGCCCCTGTGTCACCACAAGTACCCCCTTTGGGGGCTCCAGCTGCTGGATTCTGATTCACCCAGCTCCCTGTAAAGGGCAGGGTCAGGCCGGGCCGACCTCCTGGGGGTGGGCAGAGGCAGGGGCTGCCTGATGCGGAGGAGGAGGGAAGAGGGCAGCTGGGCTGGCCCCAGGGAGGCAGGCACAAAGCAGCTGTCTGCAGAGAGGCGGCTGCAGCAAAGCCTCTGCAAACAGAAAGCAGGGAGGATGCAGGGCGAGAGGCCCGTCTGACAACGCCCTGGGTGAGAGGAGCCGAGGGACCAGAGATTGCAGGGAGGGACCCGGGGGACCCCACGGTGGCCACTGGCTGTGTTTCCACGCTGGGCTACAGACCTGAAAGAAACCTGTGGGTTGTGTTTGCATGCAAATGAGGTAGGAACCAGGCGCACAAGGTGCTCCAGCGGGGGACAGGTTTGGTGGGGACATGGAAGCAGCAGCAAGCTGCCGCCCCCACCGTGACACCTCTTGGTACCTGAGCAATATTCAAACCACGCTTGGGTTTCAGAATGACGCTATCTCAGTTCCTGTGTGAGGGTGACCTGTGTGAGGCCAGTGGGGAGCAGCCAGGCAGCCCCCCGAGCTGCAGCTGCGGCAGGGCTGTCCTTCCTGGGGAGCTGCGGGCAGCCCCCGTCCCCTCTCCAGCTGTGCCTTCTCCCCACACCCGCCTGGCCCTGTCTACCCTGTCCCCCTGTGCCCGAGAGGATGAGAGCAACCGCAGGGCTCCTACAGAGACACAGGTCAAAATGAAGCAGACGCCCAGAGAGGCTGAGCAAGCGGCCCCGTGTCACAGAGCAGTGGGCTCGGCCTGCTCTGCCACGCAGTGCACAGCAAGAAAAAGGGCTCTCATTAGGCAGGCCCTTCATCCCTCCCTCGCGGGCTGCTCGGGGCTGCAGGCTATGGACTGGAGGGGAAGGCAGGAGGCGCTGGAGACAGCTGTCATCCCTCCTCCCGCCCCTTCCCCGTGGCTGGGCTGCAGGGCATGAAATAAGCAGCAGGCGCTGGGGGAGGGGGTGACAATCCAATCCACCTGTCACCCCCACAGTCAGGCGGCCTCAAGCAGCCTGCTCACTAACGAGGGAGGAGGCGTGGGTGAGGCAGACACAGGGCGGGTGGCGGAGGGGGACAGACACACAGACACAGGAAAGGAGGGAGTGAGAGAAAGCAGCAGGGAGGCGGGGTGGGGCGCGAGGAGGCAGGTTCCACAGCGGCCTGCAGGACTGGCCCGGGGGCAGCTGCGCCAGCGCCACAACTTGACAGGACACCCTCCCTGCCCTCCGAGAACTTGCAGTCCAGCCAAGAGGCAGGCAAGGGAGGGGCAGGTCCCACCCAGGGCAAGGGCGGCAGCAGCAGGGAGGCCCCCTGGAGGCCTGGCCTGGCTCCAGACGCGGCCGGGAAGGAGCACCTCAGCTCTCTGGGCTCAAGCCAACCTCCCAAGGGCGGGCAGGCAGGGCCTGAGAGGGTATAGAGGGGACACCAAGGCCCAGCGCCACCCAGCTCAAGCCCCAGAGCCCCCCTCACTGCCCACCAGACTCCGGGGCTCACAGCACTGAGCTCCGCCTCTGAACCCAGCCCAGGGACCCTGTCCCCAAGGTGAGGGCCTGGGCCATCTTCCTCTGGGTCCCACGAGGGCAGTGAGTGAGGTGCACAAGGCTGGGGTTGAGCACTGTGCTCTCCGCATCCCACACGTGGCCTGCTCCTGGCGCTCCCAGGCTCCAGCCCGCCCCCTTCCCACGGCCGCCTCTTTCCTTCACCCTGGAGTGCGCCTAGGGTCTGATCTGGAAGGCCTGGCCCTGGCCCCAACCCTTGAAAGTTCCGTCTGGCAGGCTTACTACCCAAAGCCAGGTTCCCACCATCTTCCCCTCCCTCAGGGACTCCCCTCCCCCAGCCCGCAGCCTCAGGGCTGGGCAGGGGCTATTTTTAGCCTGGGCACTGAGCTAATTTTAACTCACCGACAAGGGACCTGGGGGCGGGCTGAGGAGAGGGGGGGCAGTCCAGGAAAGCTGGCCTGGGGAAGGGGTGGTCTCAGGTCCAGACACCCTAGGAATGCCAGTGGGGGCTGGCACTGTAGCCTCTGCCTGAGCTTGGCGAGAGGAGCCCCCCCACCCCGCTTCCGCTGGGGGCCAACTCCGCGCCCCACCCCAGGCTTCCCGCCCTCCTGTCCCTGGCAGAATTCCTGGGATGGGGTCATCCTGTTTGCTGCCCAGAAGACGCCTCTCCAGTGAGGGTCTGTCTCCTGAGCCTCCACAGCCCAGCCCAGCCTTCCTGCAGTCTAGCACTTATCCTTCCGGGAGCAGCCGTGGACTGTGCGGCTCCCCGGGGAGGCGGCAGCATCTCCCACCCGGCCCTGGCCTGGCCTTCCTGCTCTCCAGGCCATCTCTAAGGCACCCCGCCCCCACCGCCAGGTCCTAGAACCACTAGGGGTGATCTCGGGAAGTGCTGGCGGACAGCAGTAGAAAGGGACCTCCGAGAACAGGCCAGGGAAAGAGGGCGCCTTCTGGGTGCCTGGATTCTAACCCCCGCTCTGGCTTTCCCTCACTGTGTGTCTCTCAGGGCTTCGCCCCACTGGCCAGTCTAATGGGTAGAGCTGGAGTGGACGCAGTACGTAAGCACCCTTCCGGTCCAGACATGCTCTATGGAGAGGCCTGAAAGGAAGAGAGGTTAGGACTGTGATTCCATGGTGAGGTGACCGTGCAGATGGCCTGCGCGGGGCCCCCGTCCCGCAGCCCGAGGAGAGCAGCCACAAGGCTGATGGAGAGCAGGTGCTTTCTGAGTAGTGACCCCCCACCCCAGAGAACCCCGGGGGCCAGCGCAGGTTGCATGTGCGGCACACAAGGCCCATGTGGAAGAGGTTTCAGCCTCCCCACCCCCTCACGTACCCTGGAATGCCAATCAGATCCAGGGCTTGGGCCTTCCCGCTGCTGGTTACTGGACAGTGTCTAGCCCAGGGGCACTACGGTGATCTGGCCCAAGGTCACTGTCATGTCATCCGTGGGGGGGCTGTTCTGGAGCCCGAGCCTAAGCTTTGCTTCCCGCCCCACCCCAGCAGGCAGAGCAGCAATGACTCACTGCTGCTCATTTGCAAGGGGATTTGCATAGTGTCTCTGACCTTATTCCTTCAGGCTCAACTTCCCATTCCAGGATGTGGGCCACCCCCACCCCGGCAAGCCCAGGTACTTAGGGACCCCCAAGGAGTTCCTGGCACTTCAGGCCTCTGGTCCCACCTTTCTCCTCCAGAAAGCATTCCTGAATTTAGAAACTCTGCAAAGAGCTCCCGCGCCCAGCTGACTCCCCTACTTGGTCCAGGTGGGATGGGGGAGGAAGAAGGCACTGCAGCAGGGACCTGAGGAGACTGGCAGAGGAGGTGTGGTGGTGCTCCCCCTGCCTGGGGGCTCCCGCGGGAAGAGTGCCAGGGCTGGGCCGAGCAGCAGGCAAGGGCGACTGCACTGGCCTCGCTGTCTACTCCGGGGATCGGGGTGCAGAAGCAGGGGAACTGGCAGGCAGCGCAGGCAGACAGATGTCGGGCCGCAGAGAGGGCTTGCACGTCTGAAGGCCCAGGCTTCTCGTACTCTCCGGGGTTCAGACCTGCTTTGTTTGAAGCCACCCAACCAAGCATGGGCAGCTGGTGACGTGGGAGGGCGCGGAGGTGCCACATGGCACTCCTCTGGGTTAGGACAGACAAGCACTTCCCTGCTGACCTTGAAGTCTGGCCTCTGTCCTGCCAGTTCCACTACCTGCACCTCCAGCCACACCCTCTGAAACAAGGTGCTCCGCAGTGGTCTCCCATCCTGGGAAGTCCTTCTGCGATCTAACCACCATCCCTCCCCCCGCAGCCAACCCTTCCATGGCCCCCTACGCCCGTATTGGTCATGTAGACAAGAATGGTGTGCAGGGGCCCCTGGCCTCCGCTGAGGAGAGGTGGGGGCGGTTGGGACGGTTAGTGTGTCACCTTCTACCTCCCCACCCAACTTCCCTCTGGGGTCTCCAGAGACAGAAGTGAAAGTGGCAGCTGGGGCCTTCGGGGCGGGCCAGATTGAGAGCCGTTGGGATGAGCAGAATGCCACCGGTGCGAGGTCTGGGCTGCCTGCCACTGCAGCGGGTGGGCTGATGGCTATAGACCAGGGGAGGGACTCCCCATGGAAATGAGGGCATGGGGCAATGCTGAGCGTGGGCCCCTGGCCAAAGGAAGAGCCGGCTGACCGGAAACAAAACCTGGAGGGAGGCAGGGAAGGAGTCTCAGGGAGGCACTGTCTCCTGGGGAGTGGTGTGAGCCCTTGTCCTGAGCAGCCAGAGGCCCTCTTCTCATCTCAGGACAGAGGCAGGGCTGCCCTGGCTGGGGACCGGAGGGCATGGAGAGAAGGGGGGGGCCTCGGCCCGAGCCCTCCCCTCACACCGGGACAGAGGGAGGCAGAGGGTCTGGACGCACGCAGTTTTCCCTGACAATGAAGACAGGGCCCTGAAAGAGGCCAATCCAATCAGGGAAGGCAAATCCTCCTAGAGACATCATGACCTGCGAAGCCGCCCAGGACTTACCGGGCAATGGCTGGGTCTCCTTCCGACTGGAAGGGCAGTCCTCTAAGCCCTGGCAGGGGCGGGCGCGGCGGCCGCGTGGGCCTGCGGCGGCGGCCCGCCAGGCAGCTCTTACAGGATTAGCTTGCTGCTTTCAGGACAGGTGCCAGGTGAGGCTAAGATGCCCAGCCAGATGGAGGGGGACTTGGCGGGCAGGGGTGGGGAACGGTATCTGCACAAGGCTAGGCAGAGACGGGCGCCCAGACCTGTGCCCCACACCGACACCTGGCTTCTCACCCCTGCGTGGACGCTGTGTGAAGACCCCTCTGGTTTCCGCCAGCAAGGAGCCCTGCCAACGCCCCGATCCGGCACTTTGCCCCTTGTCTACTCTCAACCCTTCTGTGAGGCCTCACAACCAGGGCCCCGTCCTTGGGAACAGGTGAGGGGCTCCTCTCCCTTCCCTCCCAGCTCCCCACCCCGGGGCTGACAGGTGGGGGAGACACAAAGGAGCAGCTGGGCCTGAACACCTGTCCCCACCCAGCCAGCCTGGGCCCCGTGGCCTGCCACAGAGCGTGCGTAAGAAGAGTCAGCATGGACGCAGCAGTTGTGGGGGCTGGGGAAGGGGTGGGGAAGACCTGAGGCTTCGATACCAGGCGCTACCTGGCCTACCATCTCACGGTCTACCTCAGACCATCAGCCCATCAGCCCTCCAGCAAACACATCACACAGCATGCTCTGATGGGATACCCTCGAGGTTCAAGGTCATCCCTGAAGCCCTGTGCTCAGCCCCTTGCCTCCGTGCTGCTGGATCCAACTGGAGGGGGAAGATCCCGAGAAGAGACCAAGCCCTCTTCTGCCATCCTAACCCTCCTGCCTGCATTTTCCCCTTGAGGTCTCAGGACCGGCTCGCTCTTGTTCTCTGTTCTCCCGACCCTCAGCTGAGCTAGAGCAGACAAAACTGCTTTGACATCCCCTCTTTTCCAGGCTCAACTGGAGCCATCTCTCCTCGACCCTCAACCCCAGGTAGTTGCTGCTAGGGTCAGGGGCAAGGGAATCGCCAGGAACAAGTAACCCTGCAGCCAGAGGGACCCGGTGACACCCACAGGCCCACGGGTGCAGAGGGCAGGGCCTGAGACAAGGAAATGGCTGGACAGGGAGGACAAGGCTGGGCTCTGCTTCCTCCCCCATCCCAAGGCCAAACCAAGCCTCAGGCCTCCTCAGCAGACACTGCGCCGTCCCACCCCGGCTTCTGGGTAGCTGCCTTCGCCAGGCTGAGGCCGAAGGTCTGGAAGAATGGCTGCAGCCCCCTGTTGAGGACCCACCTCCCCAGCGCTCTCCCACACTTCCCTTGCAGACACGGAAGCCAGCTCAGAGATGAGCAGGGACTCGCCCACAGTCACCAGGACCCAGTGGCACAGGTGGCCTGAGTGCCGAGGCCTGGGCTGACAGCAGGAAGGGGGCTCCCTCCCCGGGGAGCCAGGGCACACCGCTTCCCTGGCACATTCCCCACCCTCGCCCTGGGAGGCTCCTCTGGGTCAGACAAGCCAGGCGCTCCGGGTCCCCTCACCCAGCCCGCACCGCCACTCAGGGAGACGTGAAGGGGACCCAGGAGGGGTGTCTGAGTGGCTGTAGCTCCTGCTCGCACACTCGTGCTTCAGGAGTTGTCTCCCCCGACACTCAAAGACAATGACTCCTCGGGGAACCCAAGCAACGTCCCTCTCAGCTTGGCACCAACCTTCGTCCTCTGCCCTCTTGCCAGCATCCGCCTGGTCTGCTCTTGCTGTCCACTACTCTCGGGCCTCCTCGGGCCTCCCTCCCGCCGCCCCATGCCACAGGCAGGAGCCCCCCTTTCCTCCGAGAAAAACACCCTCAACGCCTGGGAACCTGGGAAAGCCCACGTCTTCAACCGCAGAGACTCGGTTTCCCCAATGATGAGTAACAGCCGTGGGGAGAGCAAACACCTCTCCACGCACTGCCAGGCCCGGTGGAATGCGGGGACAAGAAATGGACGCCTCCTTCCTCCAGCCCCTGGGGATCTCCAAAGTGCCAGTTTCTGGGAAACTAGGTAGTGGGCATGTGCGTCGGGGTACAGCTCCTTTGGCCGGGGGGGCAAAAAAGGCTCCTTCTCTCTGTGCTTTTGCCACTGCCCACCTCAGGGGAGTGGCCCGAGCACCAGCCAGAGGCACAAGGCCAAGGTCAGTGACCAGGCCTAGAGCCCAGAGCCTCCTGGGAGGGTAAGTTTAAATGAGTAAATATGGTCCCGCCTGGGTGTGGCCAGCGACAGGCCAGAGCTTCGGACAAGTCCTTCCCCTCCCAGCCCAGGCTAGAAAGGAGAGGGATCAGACGCCAGGCACCACCGCCCCCACACCCAGGCCATCAGGGGCCTGAGCAGAGGCTCCACACCAGGCAGGGGACATGGTGGCCTGGGCCTTGGGAAGAGGTCAGAGACAGAGGGCCTTAGGGATTGCCCGGGCCAAGGACCCGTCCCAAAATGCAGCCCTGAGACCTTGGAGCAGCCACGCCCTCCAGGGGTGAGGGTGAGCAGGGGAGGGCAGCAGGGGCGGGCACCACGCCAACACCCAGGTGCTCCCAGCACCGAAAGGTGAACCGCCTGTGGGCCGGGCAGCTGAGGCCCGGGGGAGCGACTTACCCAGGACACCCAGTCCCTGTGAGGGCCAGAGGCAGGCTGGGCAGGCTGCAGGAGGGTCACAGAGCAGGTGTGGCAGTCAGCCAGGACTCCCAGCCATGCTCTCCACTTCGCAGACAAGAGCCCTGTCTGCCCATCTGTGGTCTAACCTCAACCCCTCCCGCACCACTCAATGTGTCTCTCTTCCAAGCTCTCGCTGTGCCCTTCGCTGTCTCGCCGCCAGTCCCTCACCCCATCCCCTCTCTGCAATCCTTTAATCACCTTTGCCATTCACTATCCCCGCCCCCTGCAGGGTGGCAGCTGCTCTGTGGGTGTCTACACACACACATGTGTGTGTGTATGCATGTCTGCACCACACTGCACACCTTCATGCATATGTGCCACTAAATACTGCACACTTCCCAGGTGCCTCTGGGCATGCCAGGGTGCACAAGACCCCCACCCACGCTCCTCTGCTGGGGGAAGGGGCCCAAGAGCCAGCCCTGCCAGAGCTCCAAGGACAAACCCTCCTCAGAACATTCTCAGCTGCAGGCTGGGGGGAGAGAGGAGAAAATAATATATTCCAGTAGCCAGGCAGCACTAACCTTACTAGGCCAAAGGGCAAGGCCTTTCAGCTGAGCTACAGCAGACGAAACTGCTTTGACATCCCCTCTTTTCCAGGCTCAACTGGAGCCATCTCTCCTCAACCTAACTCCTGTGGGAAGTTCTTCCTGAAGTCTAACCTTCATCCTGCCTGCTATAATCATGGACAGCCAGAGTGACATCAACCACAACACAGCCAGACATCCAGCTTCTAGAACAGGGCTCCTAGGACCTAATACCGCCCTCTCCCCCCATGAGTAAGTCACCAAACTGGGACAGAAGGACAGAGGGTTGGCTGGACTCCGGCCCCATGACTGGCTCATAAAAGCCACCAGCGATTACAGTGATGCTAAGACCGCGCTGGCCCCACCACCATCTCCTGCTTCCCTGTAAGAGGTGGATAATTGCCTCAAACCAGCTAGCCTCACAGAGCCTGGACAGCCAGCCATGGTCTCAAGGGGTGGGGCGAGTCCTGCCTTCACAGGGCCACCTGACACAGAACGTGCCCCAGGACAGCGGGTTTGAGGCCCACACCTGAGTCTCACGCCCACCTAGAGAACCTGGATGAACACCTGTGACCGCCTCCAAGCCGTCAAGGCCTGGCTGAGCCACACCTGGCCAACTCCTCCCCGAAAAGGCCAGGATCAAAGACGACCAGGGACATGTGGGACCCAGCCCCTGGCCCCTGGTCCCCCTTTCCCCTGGAGGGACACAGGTGGGTGGGAAAGCATCCATGGTTAAGCGCCGACATTCCAGAGCCTGTCCCCACCAGGGAGGGCAGAGGCCCAGCAGGCCAGGAAGAGGCCGCCGGACGGGCACCAGGCCAAGCCTCTCTGGGGGCAGGAGGGCCAGGGACAGCCGCAGCTTAGGCACCTCCCCAGGGCAGGGCCGCAACCAGTGAGGGCTTAACCCCAAAGCCTCCTCCCTCAGTCCTCTTCAGGGTCTAGGGCACACCCTCCTCAAGCCCCCCACCTGGGGGAGTCACCCTCTGCCTCCTCCTCCCCATCACACCTCCCAGGGAAGACCTAGAGGAAGACTGAAGAAAAAAAAAAAAAAAAACCCTACTGGAGAGAGATTATATAACAGCAGCCAGAGAGACTATGGTATCTCCCAGCCTATGAGAACAGTCAGCAGGCAGAAGCCAGCAGGGACAGAGCCTGGACGCCCAGGGCACCAGGCAGCTACACAGTGGGCTGGCCACTGGGCAGCACTTGCCACCTTCCAAGTCCTCAACCACTCTGTTGCCAGCACTGGGCACAGCACACACAAGCCCTGGCCCAACCCCCACCCCCATCCCCCAACACCAGAGCTAGGATGCTCTCCGACTAGGGCCTGCTTCTCCCCTTGGACCAGGCCTGCACAAACAAGGGCTGAATGTCTTCCTGGAGTCTCTCCCCACACCGAAGCTGTGCCTGAGTCAAAGGACGACAGTGCAGATGCAAACTTGCTGTGTGGTCTCAGGTAAAAAGCCCAACCTCTCTGGTCTATACAGTGTGTAAATTCAAGTTCCTTCCTTTCCCAGAGAAACCAGAGATCCCTTCCCTTACAGATGTACATGCACACACACACAAGGAAACACATGTAGGGTGTGTGGTGGGGGCAGGGGAGGTACAACAAAGAGAATGGGACCACTGAGCCTCAAGGTGCAGACGCCTGTGTAGGGAAAGCGCTTTCTGCAAGCCCCAGTGTCCCCCCAAGTGCCCCCTAGAACAGGTCCTCAGCCACTCCCACACTGGTCCCACCCCACCCCCACCTCCTGCTCAACACTCTGGGAAACCACAGGAAGGAAATTCATTCCCAGGCAGGCCAGGCCGTGGGAGCTGGGGCAGGCAAGCTAAGTCCTGGGGCGGGTGTGACCCGGGGGGCCGCATCTGTGAACACGGACATGTGCTTTTCAGGGCTCCCCTCGGCCCTTCCTGCTGGGGGTTTGGAAGGGAGTGGGAGGCGGACAGCAGCTCCCCAACTCCACAACACCCGGTCTTGTGCTGGCTTCGGCTCCCCTCCTATCTCCAGGCCAGAGCAGCCCAAGGTCACCGCCCCAGACGGCAAACTTCCCATAGTCCCGGCTGGCCCCCGAAACTGCTGCAAAGACCCAGAGGGAATGGAGGAGGCGGGCTTAGGCGCCACCCTCCCACCAAGGCCACCAGGGCTGAGGGACACTCACACTGGGGCTGGGCGCAGGAAAGGGGCGCACAGGATCTTGCCTGCTGCACCCTCCCCCAACCCATCAACAATGCACCAGGTGTAAGGGGAGGCAGGACAAACCTGGGATAACCCGGGAGGGCCCCCTCCCCCCAACACTGTGCCTAGACCCAGGAGCCCTCCTTCCAGGAGATCTGGGATCGCTGCTGAGTGGTCAGCCACAATCTCCAGGGGAAGGGGCCGCTTTTCCTCATCCCTGTGCAACCCACACCCAACAGGAAGGGGGCTGGCACTGGGGTGGGAGCCTATACACACCTTAGTCTCCCGGGCCCTCCCTCCCTGCCAAAACCCCGCCACACTCCCCAGACAGACCCCCACTGCCGGCCCAGTGCAGCCTGTCCTACAGGAGAGGGGGCTGGAGAACTCTTGCCCAGATGTTGAACAGCTGCAAACTTCTGGCCAGGGGCTTCTCCAGCGGGGGCTGCCGACGAGCCAGACCAGGGGTCGGGGAGCCGGGCGAGAAGGGTCCCGCGTGCCCACCTCCGCGGCGGCTCGGCGTTCCAACTCCACAGGCACCCGGCGAGCACGCCCCGGAGACACACGCTCACACACCCCAACCCACCACCCCGGTGTCATCTGAACAACATCCCCCTCCCTCCCCCGCTTCCCAAACAGCTGCGGCTCCCCCGCCCCCACCCTCCCGCCGCCCTCCCAGGCCCCCTTCTGCACCATTTCGGGCCAAGGAGGAGGGAACAGGCGGCGCGAGCAGGGAGAGGGAGGGAGGGCCGGCTGTTAAAATGTCAGTCGCTCCCGGCTGTCACCGGAGACCCCCTGTGAGGATGGTGCCCCTTCCCAGACCGCTCCAAGGCCGCGGGGACCCGCGGACACCCAGAGGCCGGCGCGCCCCCGACCCGCCGGTCCCCACCACGTACCTCCAGCACCCAAGGGAATCGCAGCCCACTCCACATGTCCCCCACAGCCGACTCCTAACACAAACAAACAGTCCGCCGCGCACTCCCCCACCGCCGCCACGCCACAGCACCGCCCGCCCCGCGACTTTCTCCCGGCCCAGGGGGCGACCGCATCCCACCCCTCGGGGGGACGGTCCGGACCACCCCCACCCCAGCCCCAGGACGGGGTGGGGGAGGGGGGCTCTTAAAGTGGCAGGCGCGTTATTTTTCTCTACTCACCAGCCCCGCTGGGGGAAAAGGGGTGTCACGGCAGGAAGGGGACAGTCTTCGCCCCTCGTCCGGGGGATCTTCAACACTGGGAAGCCGCAGCTCCGGGCGGAGGGAATAACAAATGAGGCCGGAGTCCGCGCGGGCCCTGGGCGGCGCCGGGGGGCCTGGGCCCCCGTCGTGGGCGCGGGGGCGGGCAGGCGGGCGGCGGGCAAGCGAAGGGACCGGGGCCGAGTGCCCGGGCCGCCTCGGCTGTTGTTGATATTTTGCTTCCTTCCTCCTTTCGGGCTCCAAAGGTAACTCCTCCAGCCCCCGGGAGTCGAGGCCGACGTAGGCACAGCTCAGCCTAGCTTGAGGGCTGAGTGGGGGGGAACGGGGGTGATGGACAGGCGGGGGGGCCAATGGGAGGAACTCGTGGGGGCTGAGGGGCGGGGCCGCGACGAGGGGCGGGGCCCGAGGCGCGGCCCCGCCCCCTGCTTCCCTCGGGCCGGCCCGGCCGGGTCTGCCCCCACCCCGCCGCCCTTCCAAGCTAGGCTGCAGCGCCAGGAGCGGCGGATCCCTCCGCCTGCCGGCGAGGAGAAAGAGCCAGAGCCAGGCAAAGTAGGGAGGCGAGACCCAGAGGCCTGGCCGAGGGGTCGGCGCGTGCCCGCGGCGCGCCCTCCGAGCTCGCGGGACGGCCGCCCCCACCGCTGCTGCCCCGCGCTCGAGGGGGTCGGCCCCTCGGGGAGGCCCTGCGGGCGGCGCGCACGCTGCCTCGGCTCCCCGCCCCCAGCCCCGGGAGAGTCGGGAGGTGGGAGTCTTAAGTGGAGAAATTCAGGGGAGACCGAGGAGGTGAGAGGCTGCCTTCTCCCCCACTTAGTGTGTGACAAAGCGCCGCTTAAAGCGCCACGCTCTCCTCTCGGGGGGTTACCTGGGGAGCGCAGCCCCCCCCTCTTCCCTGGGGCACCCCCCCCCCTTTTTGCCCCTGGCTTCCCACCCCCCAGACATTTAAGCCGCCAGCCAATGGTTTTTGGGGGGCTTATTTCCCAGTCCCTGCGGGCTCCAGGGCCCGGCCTGCGAAGGGGGCAATTTAAAGGGGCGGCACCCTAACCACCCCCCACCTGCCACACAGGAAATACTCAGAAACATCTTATTAAAGATGTAGCAGTAGCTTTTAAAAATAATTTTTAAAAAAATTCCTGTTGGCCTCAGGGAGTGGTGAGTCTCGAAGTGTCCTCCGAGAGAGGGTGGGTGCCAGGCCGCTGGACAACTGGCCCATCAGCCCCCCCCCCCCCCCCAATTCCTGCGACTTCCAAGTCCTGCTTTCCACCTGGAGCTTGCGAAAATGCTTGAATTTGGCTTAGGTCTCAAAAGAGCCTTGCAGAACAGAGAGGTTCTCAGTCCCTCGCACACCCTGATTTCTATCTGGCTAGGTCTGATTTACTAGACAAAGGCTCAATTCTGGGTTAGTGCTGGAGAGACCAATATACACAGAGAGGCACCATGTCCTGGGGGTTAGAAGCCAGCTTTGCAGGCAGGCTGCCCTGGTGCCAGTCCTTGCCCCGCCACTTGTTAACTGTGAATACCTGCACATTATTTAACTTCCTCCACCTCATGATTCTCCCGGGGAACATGGAGCTGGTGATAAGACTACCTAACTCATAAATTGGGTGTGAAGAGTCAATTAGTTCATATAAGTAGATGGCTTTGCTGAGTGCCCATGCTGCATTATAATAACTAAGGGCTGGTTTGGAAGGACTCCTTCGGGTCCCTGGTAGCCCATGCAAGCAAGCCTCAGAGGAGAAGTTCAGAGGAATTATTCTGCAAATAGGTTGGAGCTTATCTTGTACTTCCTAAGACAGGAGGCCAGCAGGCTCCTGTTTCCTTGGCCTCAGTTTCCAACCCTTCTATTTGGCCTCTCCCTCAGGAAACCTGATTTATACAGTGTCCCCAGATGCAGCTTCTCAGCTCTCTGTTGGATCTGGGAGTCAGGGCACCAGGCAGGGCTAGCTTGCCCAAGACTCCGGGATAGGCAGCGGTCCTTCTTCCCCTTCCCCAAGGACCTGGAGAATGGAGCCTTGGGCCGGGTTGGAGGCGGTGTCGGGATGGGAAAGTGCCCCCCCCAAGTGGGGAACCTCCCCTCATTTGTGGCCTCTATTTTTAGTGCTTCTTCCCCAGGCTCTAGCTGGAGAAACCGTTTAGTCATCAGGGTGTTTATTTTCCGGCTGTTTCCGACGTCGGGAAAGCAGAATGTTGAGACTGGAGAGGTCCAGGGCTGCTGGAAGACGCTTCTTAGGAACAGGCCTGGGAACTCAGCCTTTAGACCACTGGGTCCCAGAGCACAGGTGGAAAAAAAAAAAAAAAAAAAAAAAAGTGGGCATGGATGTAGCCAAGCCCCCTGGGAGACCAAGCCCCCTAGGAGACCAGTTTCGAGGCTCCCCAAGCCAGAGAACTCTCTGAGCCCAGTTTGACTTGAAGGAGCCTCTCCCCAAACCAGCGCAGCCCCCAGAACTAACTCTGTTCCAGGGCCTGAGCTCAGAAACCCCCTCCCCAGCCTCCTGTGGCTCTGCGTGGTGAGCCTCCCGCCAACCACAGCTCCAGCCAATCTCCAGCCTGAGGCAGGCTTGCCCGGGCTACGATTGGCTGGCTTTCCTCCCAGCCGTGGAATGTTGGGTCCTGAACAAAGGAATGAGGAAGGAAGGTGAGTCACCTGCGGAGGGTGTTAAAGGGCCAGGAGCCGGGAGGGGCGGGCCCAGCTCAGTGGGGGAGATGCTGACATCCCTAGTCACAGGCCAGCAGAGCAGGAGAGGCAAGTGGGACAGAATTTAGAATGTAGAAAGGCTTCGTAGGAGAGAGAATGTAACAGAGATCTTGATTTCCATGCAGGACTAAGAAAGGGTCCCGGGGATGATGTTGCTGGAAGTCAGACTGAAGAAAGAACTTCCTGAAAGTGACTGACTAAATCTTTTTCCTGTGGTCCCTGGACAGAATCCTCTGGGTAGAAAATGCCTGAGCGGGCTCAGCTGCCTGACTCGTTGTTTCACCTTCTCTTCTGCCTACACAGATATCTTCCCTAAAGAAAAGGCACCTAACAGCCCCCAAAGTGCTATAAAAATCCCCAAGGAGTCAGACACTTAGATACCCAACAAACTAAAACTTACACAAACAAACAAAAACAACTCCGGGCTGGCACTGGCATAGCAGGTAAAGACACTGGCTGTGGTGCTGGCATCCCATATGGGCGCCGGTTCAAGTCCCAGCTGCCCACTATGGCCTGCTGTGGCCTGGGAAAGCAGAAGATGGCCCAAGCACTTGGGCCCCTGCACCTGCGTGGGAGACCTGAAAGAACCTCCTGGATTCTGATCAGTTCAGCTCCGGCCTTTGTGGCCATTTGGGGAGTGAACCAGCAGACAGAAGACTTCGCTCTCTCTCTCTGCCTTTCAAATAAATCAATCTTAAAAAAAATTCTAAAAACATTAACAACTCCCTTTCTTCACCCCTTTTCCAAGCATCCCTTATCCAACTTGATTTGCAAAGGTCTTCCCCATCCTCATCCCCCAATGGCTAGTTCTCTTCTGGCCTCCTAGTTCCTTGACCTGGTCAAGGCATTACTGCTGATTACTGCTGGTCCAGCCTCTAATCTGTCCCACCACTGGGCTGGCCCCCTCTCACCTTGCCACAGCTTTCTGGACAATACCCCACCTCCTACCTCTGTGCTCTTTCTGCAGTGTTTGAGTGACCCCAGCAAAGCCCCCCCCCATATGCCACCTTGCTGGGTGGGGAAGGGCCACCAGCAGGTTTCTGGTTGTTCTGTGCACACATCCTCGGTGTGACCTTGGGTCTTGTATAGTGCTCCCAGGACACATCATGTTATACTGACATTTTTGGTTTCCAATTTACTCTTCCTCACCAGATTCTGAGCTCCTTAGGGGCAGTAATCGAACTCAACTGTGGCTCTTCAGGGCTTCCCCGGGCCTAATGTGGAATGAGCTTGGGAGGCATGTTATGCAAATGTGTGTGTGTGTGTGTGTGTCTATGCGCGTGCACACACAGCTGTGTACAAGTTAAGATTACAAAAACTTTATCGAACACCTCCATTTGTCCATTGGTAACTGCTGGCCCAGGGGTGGCGCCCAGTCCCACCCTAGTACAGGGGTTGGGGGCCCGTTGGGCAGAGCAAGGCAGTGAGGTGTTCAAAACTGCACTGCAGGAGCTGTGACCCAAGCGCAGTGCCCGATTGCCTGGGGCCAGGCCTGGGGCAAAGGGCAGAGGCCCCACCCAGGAGCTGAAGGGGGCAGGGAGAGGGTGCCAAAGCCGGGTCCTCGGCCAGTGCATCCCCCTACAGGAGCTCGCTGCCCCCGGCTGGGCAGGATGTGGTGGCAGCTGCAGGAGGGTGGGCAGGATGTGGGGGTGGGGGCAGCTGAGGCGCAGCCTGACAGTCGTCTCCCCAGCTCCTCCCTCCTTGTCTCCTGCCCCCCCCCCGCCCCTCCTGGTCACGTGCTCCCTGCCCGGGCACCAACGGACTATTTCCCCCTCTCCGCGGAAGGACATAAGCCCCATCGCAAACTTGAGTCACCACCGACTTCGGCTGCACCACACCTTTTTCTCGCCCCATAGCCTAGGACGGAAAGTTTGCCAGACAGGAGTACACATTTCTTCAAAGCCCGGATCGCGAATCCGGGAGTGGTCCCTTTAAATGCAAATGAACCGCCTTCTCTCTTGTCCCCACCCCCCACCCCCATTCCAACTTCGCTCCTCGTGCCCAGACTCCACCAGCTGCCATTGACGTCACGCGTGCGTCAGCGTCGCCAGCCCAACCAGACGGCACGTGGGGGGAAGAAGGTAGTCTTAAAGGGCCAGAGGCTCGCGGCCTGCCTGGCTCCTGCTGTGCCACTTGGCCTTGGGCAGGAGGAATGAAGTTGGGTGTGGGGACATCGGGACCAGGACAGACGTTAGGAAGGACTTCCCAGAGTGGGAAGGTGTTTTCTGAGTCAGGTCTTTCCTTTAGCGCCCCCCCCCCCCATAAGTTTGGGTATTTGCCCCTGGGATAGAAACCCAGGCACAGGAGGAGCGGGGCAGAGACTCCTAAGCGTCTCAGCGTTTCCCCATTCCTGCCCAACAGGGATACACAGGGGACCTGGTGCACGTGTGTGCTCCCAGCGCCGGGAACCGAGCGCCATCAGGGACTCAAGTATTTGTAGAATGAATGCAGCCCAGTGCAAAACCAACTCCTTTCGGAGGTGGTCCCGACTGCCCCACCCAGTGTGTTCAGGCGCTCCTGAAAACAATCTCACTTGGGGGCAAGAACTTTCACAGCTTGAACTACACCTGTCTCCTCCTGCTGTGCATTAGAGACCACGAGGCAGCAGTTGAAGATCCCAGAACTTGATTCATTTGGACTTGGTTTCCAACTCTAGTTACACTGTTTACTAGCTGAGTGACCTTGGGCAAGTCTCTTCATCCTGGTGCTAATAACCGTCCTATGGAGCTGGTGCTGCTGCACCCTTGGCTTGATGGGAGGCTTAAAGGGGACACTTCTCGCGGCACCTGTTGAGTGGCGGGGGCACCAGGCTCCGGGGGAGGAGGTTTCCCCATGACAGCCTCACCTGTTCCTCTGTGAGCTTCTTGAGAACCAGGATCTCCCACGCTCATGGATTCCCAGCACCGGGCTTACTCGTGCTTTAAAAGTGTTTGTCAAATGAACGCATGGGTGATTTCAGTGTTTCCTGAAAACCTGGTTTCCAAACCCACCCCATAAGTTGTTATCCAAAGGGAGAAGACCTCGCCGATGCCCCCGTACCGCACCCATACCCCTTCAGTGCCCCAGATTTCAAAGCTCTGTGGTCCAACCTCCAGGTAGAGTTGAGGTTACGGTTGGCCATCACCAGCAGGATTATGCAAACAAGCCGCAAATGATTGTTCTGCCCTGGAGACCTGGGCAACCTCCCCACCTCTCTAACCCCTGCCTAGCTCAGCTACTGAGCCCTGTCCCAAGAAATGCAGGCTGGCTCCTGGCAGGGAGAGAGGACCTGGAAAGAGAACTTAGGAAGGAAGAGCTTCTGGCCCAGCCACTCACCCATCTTGGGCCTTTTCTCCCCTGGAGCTGAGTGCTTCACCCCACCCATTCCTCTCCACCCTTAGCTCTGCCTCCCATTCCCCGGCCCCACCTTCATTCCTCCCAGGATGGCGGGGAGGGAAGAGTGGACCTCTCATCACCTGGTTCCAGCCGCTTGGCCAGAGGAGCGGTAGCCACCTCGTCCTTGGTCAGCGGGTCTTGCAGCTGCGTATCGATCTGATTGTCAATATCTGCCACCATCTCTGAAGTTGGAAGCCTGGCAGACAACAGAAGGAACTTCCTACTTCCTGCGAGGGAGTAGGGACGGAGAGCCCTCTCCTTCCTTGAGGAGGAAGAAGTGGCGAGACCCTCTTCTGGCTGACAGCAACACCATCAACCTGAAGAACCCTTGAGGGGGTGGGCATTGCGGGTGGGTTTCCCCCACAGGAATCTCCGGTCAGCCTGGAGGCCGGCTCCGCCCCCTGCAGGGTGGGGTGACATCCAGGAGCAGCAGTGTGTTCCAGAAAACCCCAAAATAACCTGCCTTTGCTGTCCAGCTGCTATTTCTGTCCATCTTGTTTAATTATTCAAACCCAAGTTGGGGAGTGAACTATAAAAAGCTCTCCTGCTCGGGGACCCAGGAGAGCCGGGAGACTGGCCAGGTTGCAATCGCAGCGGCCACAGGGTCTGGGTGAGTTCACATGGCCCAGCATCCTGCTTGAAAGCTCCTTCTGCCGTGTGCCTGCCACCTCAGCTAGAAGGCAGAGACCGGACCTCCCTCCGGAAAGCTGGCCTGCCTCGCTTCAGCCTCTCCACACCCCTGTCTGGCCCCCGAGCTGGCCCCAGCCCCCTGCCCTGTGCTTTGCAAGTATTTCCTCTGCACTGTGCCTCTGCACTCGACCCGTTCCTTAGCCCTGGCTTCCTGACCCACAGGTTCTAATCGTTTGGCCTGAGTGTCCATGGCCATGGCAGGCAGCGTGGCAGAAGGCAAGTCAGTGGACCCAGGGACAGGGTGGTGGACACCAGGCTCTTGGCAGCGGGCGGTGGGGTGGAGAGCACTGTTGGTGGGGTGGGTGCTAAGGCTCTTTGGGAGCTTCTCTTAGGGTCCCTCACTGTAGTCAGCAGGACAGAGGTAAGGCTGCCGGGAGCACCTTCGTCCTCTTTTGAGCCTAGTCTTTTTCTTTTGTTTATTTCTTGTATTTATTTGAGAGGCCGAGACACGGAGCCCCCACCCATTGGTTCACCAGTGCGAGGAAGCTGGGAACCCAATCCGGGTCTCCCGTGTGAGTGGCAGGGTCCCAAGTCCTTGAGCCATCAGCTGCTGCCTCCCAGAGTGCATTACAGGGAGCTGGAATGGCACCCAGACACTCCTAGCTGCTGTGCCCCATTCCCGCGCCAGCTCTCGTCTTCTGGTTTCCCCGGCTTGTGGCAGTTTCTGTCGCAGTGGAAGCTCGGGGTGGCTAAGTGAGAAAAGCAGGGCTCCCCAGGACTTTCTTCTGTGACTGCTCCTACCTGACAGGCCTTTCTTAGAAAAAGAAGGAACAGGGGCTTGTGTTCGTGGTTGCTCTGGCAACATGGGGTTGTCATGGCGACTGGCCTTGGAGATGGTTGGTCAAGGGACTCATGTTAGTGAAGGGGGGACTGGCAGTTCCGCAGCCTGAGCAGGAAAAGGTACAAGAGAAGTGGGCAGCCTCAGAGATCCCAGACGTAGAAGTGAGTCTCAGGACAGACAAAGGGACAAGGGCAGCAAAAGTGGCACTGGAGCCCCAAGACGGGGAGAGACCACAGCAGCAGACCCAGAGACCCGGGTCCAGGGCCAGACGCAGAAGTGCACACAGTGAGGGGAGAGGCCCTGCGTGGGATGAGGAGCGTGGCAGGACTGTGCCGCGGGCAGTGTGGGCCTGCGTGTTAACACAGAGCCTGGGGTTCACAGTGGGGCCCTCTTCCAGGGCTTGTGCCCCCATGTTCCCTGGCAGCGGTGGTCACGGCTCCTGCAAGGTCCAGCCTGGCTCTCCCTGCTGCGGCTGCTACTAGAGCTAGGAGGGGAGGTTGCTGAGGGATGGGGATGAGGCCATGTTGCTAAGCAACAAGAGGCTCCGCACCTGGAGGGCATGGGAGGGGCCTGGCACGGTTTGTGCCAGGGGAGCAGGGAGACAGTAAAGGAACTGGGTGGGCAAAGCACAAGGGCCCCTTTCCCCTGCTGCCTGTGCCAGTCACGGAGGGCAGCTGCGCTCCGTCTCAGGAAACACATGGGGACAGTGTGTGGTCCGCCTCCCCGATGCGTGTGTGTGGTGTGTGCCGACCTGGGGGTCGCGCACAGGGCCATCCGGGGCAGGGCGGGGCTCCGGCAGGGATATGAAGGTTAAAAAGCTTGCACAGTGCTCGTCTGGTAGGAGGAGACCAGGTCTCGCTCGGCCTGTGGAAAGGAACAAGGCAGGAAGCTGTGCAGAGCTGCAAAGGCCCCAGGCTGGGAACTTGGGAGCTGGCAGAAGGCTGGGAAGTTGCTACAGCCTCTTGAGAGGTATTCTGCTCTCGAGAGGCGCTGCGGGGGCACGTGAGCCTCATGCATCCAGCCATCTGCTGGAGGCCTCCGTGTTCTCAAAGCCGGACGTCTCTACTGTACTTCATTACCCTTATTCTCTCCCTCTCTTAAAAATGTACTTATTTATTTGAAACACGGAGGGAGACTCCTCAGGGCTGGGCCAGGCGGAAACCAGGAGTCTGGAACTCCATCCCTGTCTCCCACGGTGGGTGCAGGGGCCCAAACATTGGGCCATCATCTGCTGTTTTCCCTGGTGCTTTAGCAGGGGGAGCTGGATCAAAGTGGAGCAACCAGGACTCAAACTGCCCGACACTTACAGGGGATGCTCACGCTGCAGGCGGCAGCTTAACCCACTGTGCCACAACAGTACCGCTGTTCTCTCGATTTTTATGTATTATTTTCTTTTTCTTTCTTTCTTTCTTCATTTTTAAAGATTTATTTACTTATTTGAAAGAGTTACGGAAAGGGAGAGAGAGAGTAAGAGGGAGGTCTTCCACCCGCTGGCTCACTCCCCAGATGGCCACAACAACCGGGACTGGGCTAGGTCAAAACCAGGAGCCAGGAGCTTCTTCCCTGGTCTCCCACGTGGGTGCAGGGGCTCAAGCACTTGGGCCATCTTCTGCTGCTTTCCCAGGCCATTAGCAGGAAGCTGGATCGGAGGTGGAGCAGCCAGGGCATGAACTGGCACCATCCCCTATTATTTTCTTTTTAATCTTCAGGTTGACTGGTATGAAAGTCCAGTATTAGGGTAGAAAGGCGTGGAGGCAGAGAACAGCCTCGTGCAACAAGCAGTATTTATTGAACACCTGTGACCTGCCAGCCGGGATGCTGGGGAGGCAGCGAGGGCTGGATCCCGTGAGGGTCCGCAGGCAGCCCCCTCAGCAGCGCAGGCAGTCACTGGCTTCTCCCAGCAGACACCGCTGCTCATGCAAGTTGATGGCTTCCCACTGTCGGCGCTGGCATGGTCCTACAGTTCCACAGGGAGCCCCAGGCTTGCCCACAGACCAATTGCTGGGGAGACAACAGGGTGCAGAGAGGGCTTCCGGTTGATGGCCCGTGAGGAAGATAAAAACCTGGGGATACAAGGAGTCTGGGCTTGTTTTGTTTTCATTCCTGCTTTAAAGGCATCGTGACAAAGCGACACCATCCTCATTTTGTAGATGACGAAAACGAGGCCCAGAGAGAGCAGGGAGCACGTTCACATTCAACAGCAAGAAGCAGCTGTGGCATTCCAACCCAGAACTCTCTGTCCCCGGCCAGCGGTCAAGGGAGAAAACAGCTCGGCTTCCCCACTGCCGAGCAGAGCGGTAGAACCTGACCGCGTGTTCACAGGGACACCCGGGTTGGGGGTGGGGGCGGGACTCATCCCAAGCCTGGTGAGGGGAGTATCCTCACGCACTCACAGGTCCAGGATGGCCACGCGAACACCTCCGAATGGCTCAGATTCAGGGAAGCCTGGGGCAGACAGAGCCGAGCGCCAGTCCGAGCCCCAGTCTTTTCCAGCTGGTGAGCTCGGGTGAGTCACCGACCCTCTGTGAGCCTCAGTTTGCTGGGGGTTGGTGTGAGTGTCACGGTAAGGAGTGGTAACAACCTGCGCCGTGCTTTGGAGACGTGCAGTAACGAATGGCCCTCTCCTGTCAACCCTACACAAGGACACAAGGAGGAGGCGGGGAACCAAGGGCAAATTCAAGGTGGGCGCAACCCTGTGGGTATGCACAGGAAGCCCACTGGCAGGATGAGGCAAGAACAGCAAAAAGACCTTTCTCTCGCGCTCTCTTGCTCTCGTTCCTGGAGCAAGTGCAGGAATGACAACAGATAACAGAGGGCACAAACCTCCTAACTCCTATTTCTGTCCCTTTTCTCCCCCAAGGCAGATGTTTAGTGTAGAAATCAGAGAACGGGAGCCCTGGAAAGGTGAGAATCAAATCTGCAGCCCCATTCTTCTGTGGCTTCCTGGATCCCCTGTAAAGTTCACCAGAGGCACCGGGAACTTGCACAGATGGTGGTGGCAGTGGCATTGTCCCCTGTGTGGGAGGAATCTGGGGTGTAGAAGAGGCACCAAGAGCCTGGAGGTGGAAACAGGAGACCCTGGTCTGTAAGAAGGGGGGAGATAGCTTCCAACCACCTGGGCTTAATCCCCACGACTGTTCTGGAAAGTTAGAGAAAGAAGGTGGGGTCAACCGGGCATTGGTTGAGATTCACCAACCCCTGACTACTTACATGAGTGTGGACATCACCCAGGAGGCGGCCGGAAGTCCAGAGGATCTCAGCCCACCTTGGACCTAATCACAGTGGCACTTAAGAGTCATGGGTGCCGGGGGCTGGTGTTGTGACAAAGTGGGTTAAGCCACCACCTGCCATGCTGGTGCCTCCTATGAGCAGTGGGCGATTGGAGTCCCGGCTGCCCTGCTTCTGATCCAGCTCCTTGCTGATGCACCTGGGAAAGCAGCAGAAGATGGCCCAAGTGCTTGAGCCCCTGCCACCCATGTGGGAGACCCAGAGAGAGCTCCTGGTTCCTGGCTTTGGCCTGGCCCAGCCCCGGCCATTTGGGGAGTGAACCAGCAGAGGGAGGATCTCTCTCTCTCCGTGTGTATATATATATAAATGGGTATGCGTGTGAGAGAGAGAGACTTTGCCTTTCAAATAAAGAAATATTAAAAAAAAAAAAAAGGCATGGGTGCTCTGAGAGCTCATTCGAGCCTGAGACGTGCTGCCACAGCCTGTCCTTGGTGCAGGTGACCTCCTATGTCCACCTCCAGTCTCTTGGCACCTCTTCTATTGCCCATTTTCCTCTCACGCTCGGGGAGAAGGCCACCCCCACCACCTGTGCAAGTTCTCCCAGAGCCTCTAGTGAACTTCACAGGCAGAGACAAGAAGTCCCTGAAGGAATGGGGCTGTGGATTTGATCTTGGCAGGCCTGCAGCTGTCCTAGCCATTGAGAGCTAGGAATC